TAACACTGCCATAATACAGCCATAATACAGCCATAATACAGCCATAATACAGCCATAACACTACCATAATACAGCCATAACACTACCATAACACTACCATAATACAGACATAATACAGCCATAACACTGCCATAATACAGCCATAATACAGCCATAATACAGCCATAACACTGCCATAATACAGCCATAACACTGCCATAATACAGCCATAACACTGCCATAATACAGCCATAACACTGCTATAATACAGCCATAACACTGCTATAATACAGCCATAACACTGCCATAACACTGCCATAATACAGCCATAATACTGCCATAATTCAGCCATAATACAGCCATAATACTGCCATAATACTGCCATAACAGTGCCATAATACAGCCATAATGCTGCCATAATACAGCCATAACACTGCCATAACACTGCCATAATACTGCCATAATACAGCCATAACACTGCCATAACACTGCCATAATACTGCCATAACACTGCCATAATACAGCCATAATACAGCCATAACACTGCCATAATACAGCCATAATACTGCCATAACACTGCCATAATACAGCCATAATACTGCCATAACACTGCCATAACACTGCCATAATACTGCCATAATACTGCCATAACAGTGCCATAATACAGCCATAATACAGCCATAACACTGCCATAATACAGCCATAATACAGCCATATTACTGCCATAATACAGCCATGACACTGCCATAACACTGCCATAATACAGCCATAACACTGCCATAATACTGCCATAACACTGCCATAACACTGCCATAATACTGCCATAATACTGCCATAACAGTGCCATAATACAGCCATAATACAGCCATAACACTGCCATAATACAGCCATAATACAGCCATATTACTGCCATAATACAGCCATGACACTGCCATAACACTGCCATAATACAGCCATAACACTGCCATAATACTGCCATAACACTGCCATAACACTGCCATAACACTGCCATAATACAGCCATAACACTGCCATAACACTGCCATAACACTGCCATAACACTGCCATAATACAGCCATAATACAGCCATAATACAGCCATAACACTACCATAATACTGCCATAATACAGCCATAACACTGCCATAATACAGCCATAATACAGCCATAATACAGCCATAATACAGCCATAACACTACCATAATACAGCCATAACACTACCATAACACTACCATAATACAGACATAATACAGCCATAACACTGCCATAATACAGCCATAATACAGCCATAATACAGCCATATTACTGCCATAATACAGCCATGACACTGCCATAATACAGCCATAACACTGCCATAATACAGCCATAACACAGCTATAATACAGCCATAACACTGCTATAATACAGCCATAACACTGCCATAATACAGCCATAATACTGCCATAACACTGCCATAACACTGCCATAATACTGCCATAATACTGCCATAACAGTGCCATAATACAGCCATAATGCTGCCATAATACAGCCATAACACTGCCATAATACAGCCATAATACTGCCATAACACTGCCATAATACAGCCATAATACTGCCATAACACTGCCATAACACTGCCATAATACTGCCATAATACTGCCATAACAGTGCCATAATACAGCCATAATACAGCCATAACACTGCCATAATACAGCCATAATACAGCCATAATACTGCCATAATACAGCCATGACACTGCCATAATACTGCCATAATACAGCCATAACACTGCCATAATACTGCCATAACACTGCCATAACACTGCCATAATACTGCCATAATACTGCCATAACAGTGCCATAATACAGCCATAATACAGCCATAACACTGCCATAATACAGCCATAATACAGCCATAATACTGCCATAATACAGCCATGACACTGCCATAACACTGCCATAATACAGCCATAACACTGCCATAATACTGCCATAACACTGCCATAACACTGCCATAACACTGCCATAATACAGCCATAACACTGCCATAATACAGCCATAATACAGCCATAATACTGCCATAATACAGCCATAATACAGCCATGACACTGCCATAATACAGCCATAATACAGCCATAACACTACCATAACACAGCCATAACACTGCCATAACATTAATTTTTACAGGATATTTTGCTGCTTCAGTGATAAAAACAATTTTTGTTGGATAAACTTCCAGAATTATAAGATTATTATTATTATTATTATTATTATTATTATTATTATTATTATTATTAATTAAGATATCTGTCAGTTAAATAAATCCATTTAAAATAGAAAATAAATACTTTCTTTCCTTTTAGTGTCACTGATTTTATGAATGTATGAACAGTAATAAACAGTTTGTGTACTGTACGACCATATGGGCTCTCAGGGACCTGCCAGGAGAAAGTCCAGGGTTTTATCGGAGACGCCGTCCTGCTGCCCTGCGTCTACACCGAGGACGACCGTCTACTCTCCGTCTTCTGGAGAGACAAAAACGACAACAACATACTGGACATCATCAATAACGTACCGAACAACTCAACACAGCACCAGAGATTCAGAGGTCGAGTGCTCAGTGACCCATCGCTGTACCAGAAGGGAAACTTCTCTGTCACCTTGAAGAACGTTCAGCAGGACGACGCCGGTCCCTACGAGTGCGTCATCCCGTTGGAGAACTTCCAGCTGAGAGTCACTCTCTCTGTTTCAGGTTGGTCTGACCAGCAGCCTCTGCCTCCCTCCAGACACACTTTAAGCCTGAACCTGGTAAACCTGGTTCCACGAGGACACGGTTCTAATAACGTTGTCTCGAGTAGGGCTGAAAAACATCTCTGTGATTCTTTAGATCAAGGCTTCGTTTGTTTAACACAGATTATTATTACAGATTATTACAGATTATTACTAATTATTACTGATTATTACTAATTATTACTGATTATTACTGATTATTATTACAGATTGTTACAGATTATTACTAATTATTACTGATTATTACTAATTATTACTGATTATTACTGATTATTATTACAGATTGTTACAGATTATTTCAGAGTATTACTGATGATTACAGATTATTACTGATTATTACTGATTATTATTACAGATTGTTACTAATTATTACTGATTATTACTGATTATTATTACAGATTGTTACAGATTATTACAGAGTATTACTGATGATTAGATTATTACTGATTATTACTGATTGTTACAGATATTATTACAGATAATTATTACTGATTATTACAGATTATTACAGATTATTTCTGATTATTACAGATTATTACTGATGACTATTACAGATTATTTCTGATTATTACAGATGGTTGTTACAGATTATTATTACTGATTATTACAGATTATTATTATTACTGTTGGACAGAGCGCTCTGGAGAGAGAAAATGATGAACTACAGTGAAACAAGCGAGCTGATTATTTCCTGTGAATATTGATCAGAGATTTCCTGATATTTTTATACAATCATAATGAATCAACAGGCTGCTTTTTTAAAATAAATTCAGTGTTTTCTTCTCCCTGATACTTGCGTACCTGCATACTTTTGGAGGAGGCTAAATGAACCACAGTGGCTCCTCCTCCTCTTCCTTCTCCTCTTTCTCTCTGTTTGTTGTCTTCAGCAGCAAGTTTCATAAAAACACCAAAAAAAATCTGTCGTAACATCAGCTGTTGGAGGAAGCTCATTGTTAATGAAAATGATAAAATAAATATCCACCGTGCCTGCGCCAGGGAGCGTCTGACCTCTGCCCCGGTACCTATAGCAGTACTATAGCATGGGGTCGCACGGTCTGATTTTAGAGTATGTAAGAAAACTTAAGAAAATAAAGGCTGATATTTCAGCACCTGGTTCTGTGAAGAAAAGTATAATAAAAACAATGAGAAGAAAACTCTGAATCTGTCAGTAAAGAAGCCTGTTGAATAGGAAATGATCTGTTCATTTATGTCCATTGGTTTAAAAACTAAAGGGCTCCCGTAGAAAAACAAGTTTTCAGGAGTTTTAGTATCGACTCTTGTGACATCCCGACTGAAATATTGTTTGATGAAGTTATTAGATTCTAACAGAAGTCGTATCGGTTCACAATCCCAGAAGAAAAGCTCAAACACTCACTCAGATGTAAAGCTGGTTTCATTTCATCGAAATCAAGTGATCAATGTACAACCGATGTTTGTAAATGATCAATAAAGTAGAGCCCCATATAACAGCAGAAGAGTATTGATCACCTGGAGAAGCAGATTTGTGTGGACGCTATCATCATTCAGGGTTCAGGGCTTCCTGTCTCTGACTGAGACTAGCACTGTGTCTCCCAGCATGCCTCTGTTCTGTTGTTTATAACAGAGCTGTGTCAGTCTGTGCTGTAACGCTGCCCCCTGCTGGTCCAACCTGTGGCTGCAGTTTACACACTGAGAAAGCTCAATGATATGATCACATGTAAAATGAATCGGTATCAAAGTACAACCTCAGCATTGATATTAATCCATCAGACTGATGTTACTGGACCTGAAGAGTCACTGCATCCTTCCCCTTTAACAAAGGTGGATTGTGGGTAACTGAGTGTGTGCTAGCAGTTTGACCTGTGGTCCTCCAGCTCTGTGCAAGTCTTTATCCTGACTCATAGTGCTAACTAATGCTAGCTAGCTTTAGCTTCCACAGCGAAGAGTCCAAACTCGTGTGTCGTGTAGTTTAATGATGAAATCTTTCACTTGAAGGAACAACGGCCAGTTGAGCAGCGGACAGACTGACTGTGGGTGGTTCATGTTACATTGCAGCCAACCTCTCCCGGCTCTCTACCTCTCCTCTTGGGGCAGATCTGGCTCAGAGTCCGCGGCGCTATAACCCCAGTCTGTTTGTTTGTTTTGGTGTTGCAGGTAAACGTGTTGAAGCAACTCCTCCAGGACCAGCAGGCGGCGCTGCAGTAACACCGACCTCCCTCCATCTGGTTCTGCTTTCTGTCCCTCTGTCTGTGTTCTTCAGCTCGAGAACGTGTTAGAACTTCAACTTCATCTAGAAAACACTGTAGAAAAGTTTCATTTCGTGTAGGAAACAACCTCAGAGTATTATTTTATTGGTATTGTTATTATTATTGTTATTATGAGTATACAGTCAGGATAGTGAAGTTTTATTTATTTCATTTCATTTAAATTCATTTTGAAACGAGTTAAATAACTATTCCCACCAATAATCAACCTCACAGTGTCCACACTCATTAAAGATCACTGCAGCCCAAAATAATCCAAACTGATTTACTGTCAATAAACGGATGGAAGTGATGCTGAAATAACGACACCATGATGGCGGGTGTTAACCGACTGAATTCAGACTCATATTTTACAACTTCCTCTCTTCCTTTACTTCAAGTTCAAGTAGTCTTACAAGACCGTACGGGCTGGAGCTAGCAGTTACTAGCTGGTTAGCATGCTAACCTCAGTAACACAACACACAGATGGCTTCGACATACAGTCGTAGCTGTTAGGGTGAGTTTCCACCATAATGCAAATGAATGAAGTCTGAGGTAAAGAGGACGACATACGGAGAGACAGAGCTGAAATTCAGAAAATCATCATGATGTCGTTATTTCTGCATCATTTTGATCCGTTTATGGACATTAAATCACAGAAAGTATAATTGAGGCCATTTCTTTTATTTATTTTTATTTCTATTACACATTACCCCTTTTATAACAGAGCGATCAGTAACAGCGTGTCTGTAAAACTCTAAAGCTCCAGACAGTAACAATGTCATATTGAACACCAAAGATTAGTTTTGATCATTATAATAATCAATTAATTGTCTTAAAGACAAACACTGCACCTTAATTCTGGTTTTTGCTTTGACGTATCTATTATTATAATGAAACAGTTCCTCTGAAGAATATTGAAGCATATTGAAGCTTTCTGCTCAAGTAATCATATCACTAATAATCAGTTCCTTCTCTACTTTCTGGATAAAAAACAAAACAAAATACAGAACTATTTAAAATGTGCCTTAAAAAACATCAGAATTTAAATAAAGTGTCTCTAATGGTCTTCTGTAGAAACAGCAGCTGCAGCAGTTACATGTTATCTCTTTATATTTATCCATTATTGTTGTGAAAGTTAAATCTTGGGAAATTAAGGATCTGCTGAGTGGATATTAAACTGTGTACTTTATATTTATTTAATATTTTTGTCAGTGGGAACTATTTGAAGTCAAATAGTGATTGTGATTATATTTAGTGACTGATCCTTTCATCCTTCTCAGGACCAGCTCTTGATAATTTCCTCAGTTATAACAGCGTCTCTGCTGTAAATGATCAGACTGAATTTTGTCTTATTGTGAAATAAACAGTACCACCTTTCTACCACAAGATGGAGCCACTCAATCACCTCATACAACACAGCACTGTTAGTACTAATACTGATACTAATATTGATACTGATATTGATACTGATACTACTGATGTAATATTGATACCACTGTTTATTCTGTTAGTACTAGTTCTAATAGTGTAGCGATATAATGTTGTTATCACTCCTTATTGTTGCTGTTCCTACTGGAACCTGGACTGCTGTTAGTGCTCGTACTTCTAACTTACTATAACTTCTTCTGTTTCTATTATAATGTAAATATTATTTCCTCTACAGTTACATACTGTAACTATAGTACTGATGCTGCTGAACCTGTAGTTTCACTGCTACTACTATTAAAGGTTCTCCTGCTGTTAGTATCGTTGTTATTACTGCTGTAACTGTCCTCCTATAGTTACTACTACTTCACCTGAAACTATTACTGTAATAGTTTTATTGGTACTAATACAACTACTGATAATAACTCGACTACTGCTGTTACTACCCTGACTACTACAGTACTCCACTGCTATTAACACTTACTACTTCCATCAGTCTATCAGTTACTGCTGCTGCTACAAATACTACTAATGCTGCTAATAATAGGACTATTACCAATCTGTTTTCCTGAAGCAGTTTCAGTTCCGGGTTTGAAGCGTCTGAGCGTCTGATGAAACCTGCTGTTTGTGGTTCATCACAATCACCCTCTGAAACAGGAAGTGAGCTGAGTACTTCTCTCGCTGTGAAGGAAGACGCTGTGTCAGACTGGTTCCTGTACTGGATCATGGATCTGATTTGGGTCATCCTCCTGGTGTTCCTGGTGTGCACCGAGGCCGGGAATCTGACGGAGGTCCGAGTGGAACTGGGTCACAATGCCACACTGAACTGCTCACTGGAACCACCAAACATCTACTGGTACATGGAGGTACACAGTCAGTGCAGAGCCCTCATCATACGTACTTTTACTAAGAATAAGACGAACAGTAACTCCATTTATACTACTTTTATAAGCAAATATATAGCGGAGGTAAACAGGCTTACGATTGTGAACGCCACAGCAGAGGACTGCCGGCTGTATTTCTGTGCCAGAAAACAAAATAACAGCTTTATATTTGAAGATACTTTCCACCTCGTCTCAGGTAAGAACTGCAGTTTATACCTCGTTTTTACTTTATTATCTGTATATTTATTATCTGTATTAGAGTATACAGTTACATAATCAGGAAACAAAAAAGTAACTTATTACATTTACAGTAATAAAGATGCAATCAGATTAGTTACATTTAGTAAAATCAGGATTTCTGTATCATCTGTTTCCAACAACGTGAACCCAGAAGTGTTGAGGACCAAAGTTTTCTGTTGGAAATGTTCAGTCTGGGTCGCCAACATTTACAAACTGACTTTTTACTAATTAATTAATTAATTCACTCATTAATAATCAGCTATACAGACAATATCAGAGTGGTTGCGGAATCCATTTCTGATTCTTTTAAATGTACAAAATGGATGTTTAAACCGGATGTTGCCATATTTAGACTCCCAGCGGGCGGATTTTTATTAATGTTGAGTTGATTTTAAGGTTATTTATATGCTTAATACACTGACCATGCGATTTAGAATCAAGAAAGCTCAATGTCATTGGTGTAAATGTTCAGACCTAATATTTCTTCACATTTTTTGGCCTTTTTTTGTTTTCATTTTATAATTAACCTGTGACAGAAATATCATCACAATCAACTGAAAATTTATCAAAATCAGCCCACTGGGAGTTGAAATATGGTCAGTCCCGGTTTAAACATCCATTGTTTATGTTTAAAAATGTCAGAAATGGATTCATCACGCCCAATAACCCCCAAAACCACTCCTATATTCATACACTCTCCAACACTCCAAATCAGTCAATCAGTTGCTGAAACATTGTTTATTAATGCTAATTATGCTAATTGTCCAACATATGCAAGTTAGTGTAAAACGTAATCTAACACAAAACTTTGTACTCCACATTTTGGGGTTCACAATGAGGATTTAAAATCAGCTTTAAAAATAGACTGTTCGCTCGATCACAGTTTCTATAGATACAGGGCGGAGGTCACATATCTTTGTTAAAAATCTTCCCTTTTCTCTTTAAGGTCACATTGTTCGGTCGTCTTATAGAATACACTTAGACCCATTCTTTCTTTTTCCTCCTCCTATTAGGCGTCGAGGTAATCCAAAAGAAACTAATGAAATTACTTTTATATTGTGATACTTGGATTAGTTACTTCATTTTGTTTTTACATTTTTTAAGTAACCCTCCCAACCCTGATTACTAGTAATAATATTACTTTGCCCAGTAACTATTAGTGTAACTAATTACTGATAATATTAAAGTATTATTACTTTCCTTCCAAGCTATCTACAGCTGCTCGCTTTATTCTCATTACTTTTTCTGAAACTACTAGACGATTAGTAAATAGTTCTCAATCAGTAACCTTATTACAGCTTATTGATCGTTAGTAAGGAAGTATGTGAATATTGATATGTGTTCTCAGTATTGGGGGAGGAGTCGGATTTCCAACATGAATAAATGTAAGGTTACTAAAGTCATACTACTACTGTGCTACAACTGCTTGGCTGCTAATGCTTCTACTAGCCAAGGCCCCTGATGCCAGCGTGGAAGCTGAGCGATGTACTGCTGTGGACGGAGGAAGCAACAGAACTCACTTTACCCAACTAAAACATCAGATGTGAATTCAGCGTACGTACGGACTTTATTTCTTATTTTTGTTGTTCCAGATGTTCCAGCTGTCACTCCGCCCACCAACAGCTGTGCAGGGAACCACCAGCAGCTGCAGCAAAACAGGCCGATATGGCAGAGTGAGCTCATCCTGTACGGCTCCTTCGCCCTGAATATCGCCCTCCTCGTCTTCATCTTCATCGGTCAGTCTGTTTTTAACCTTATTACAGTTTGTATTATAAATACCAACAGAGGCATCGTGTGTCTGTGCTGCTGAAGAACTTTAACACTACAGGACGTTAGCATGTAGCTGCACTGACACCACGTCTACCTCCACACAGCTGGAGGCTCATAATGATGACATCATATCTAACAGCCACCTTTATTGTGGCAGGTTTGGTTTTTACGTCTCACCTTATGAAGAAGAAGAAGAACTGCAACGTCCAGCTGAATGACCCTTCACCTTTGAGCCCTGAGAACCCAGAGAGACTGGAAGCAGCACAGGTAAACACACTGCTGCTATTTATCATTACATCATTTATACTGAGACACTACTGCTAATGCTAATGCTACTGCTATTGCCCATAGTCCACTGTTTGTTCTTTTACATGTACTGCTGCTAACAGTACTATCAGTAGTAATACTCCTAGGGATCCACGATAACTTTTTTTAAACCGATACGATAACCGATAACTTCCAGCTCCTAAAGGCCGATACCGATAACACACACACATATACATATATATATATATATATATATATATATATATACGATCATGACCTAAGATCATGACATTAATACTATGAACAAACACTTTTGACTCTTAAATGGAGATAGGCCTATTTATTTTTTCCAATGAAAAACTATTGGCAAGTCTCTCAAAAAAAATAAAGGCTCCTTGAACTGATGCAAATACATGGATTACAAACTGGAAAGTGTATTCCAGAAGTTCAAAAAAATAAATATATATAGAACATTGATGCACTGACACAAGTTAGATTCAAACATTTCTATGTAAACACAATCTGAAAAAGTGCATTCCTCAATAACAATAAATCAAATGTGCATAATGCACTGACACAAGTTACACTGAAAGTGTATCCATAGTAACAAAACATTAAGTTTAAATGATTTTGGCTTATGGTTCCATTCAAATGAATACCTTTTCACTAAAGTAAACGAGGTTCAGTTGTTTTAGAGAGACAGAGAGAGAGACAGAGAGAGAGAGAGAGAGAGAGACACAGAGAGAGAGAGAGACAGAGAGAGAGAGAGAGAGAGACACACAGAGAGAGACAGAGAAAGAGAGAGAGAGAGACACAGAGAGAGAGAGTTTTATTTACTTATTTAATGAAATGTATGAAATTGTTCTTATGTAATTTATTTTTAGCTTTGGCAATATTGTTGTTTTACATTCATGCCAATAAAGCTGATTTGAATTGAGAGAGAGAGGGAGAGAGGGAGAGAGAGAGAGAGAGGGAGAGAGAGAGGGGAGAGAGAGAGAGAGACGTCGAAGCGATGGCTATGTTTCAGGTGACTTATCAGGTTTGACGTATTGAAGCTCGACCTACTTTTACCTCCTCGTGGAACTTGCTTGGAACATTTGTTACAAATAACAAGCGACCTGTCTTCTTCAGAAACTTTGTAAAGTCCCACACAATCGACGCCATGTCGTTTGTTATCAAACGTAAGCACGCTGTGCTGCATTGTGACGGAAATTCCCTGTTCCCACCTTTACTAGTTGTTCTTTCGACTGTTTTTTTGCTAGTCGTTTAAGTTCATGTTTCTGTTGTTTATGTGTAACATGTGGAAAAATACTGTGGATATCAATTCAAGTCAGCAACTACCAGAATTATGACCGAGTTAACAAGTTATTTTTTGACATGAGGGGGTATTCTTGAATTTTCCCAGTCAGAAAGAGTTTTTCTGATTATGCCAACGTCACTTGAACGCAGCATTCACTGCGGGGCATTCAGGTCTCATAGTGAGAGCGGGGCACTGCCGTGCTGACAAAGTTATATATGTTATCGGGGCTATTCGTCATGATATCGGACTTATCGGTATGACGTAATTATTCCCTGTTATCGGTCCGATAATTATCGTGCACCCCTAAATACTCCTGTATTATAGTATTATACTCATGTATTTAAACTCCTGTATTATTGTATTATACTTGTGTACTGTACACTACACCTGTATTTATACTCCTGTATTATAGCATTATACACCTGTAAACTCGTGTCCTCCTGATCTGTGTTTCAGTACGAGGAGATCCAGCTCCCCACCTACAGAGCCCGCCCACCTGCTGCTCCTTCTTCAGAGTGTATTTACTACAAAGCTCAGCTTCCTCAATCCACACTACCTCAACTGTGACACCTGAACATCTGGACATCTGGACAGTTAATGAACATCTGGACAGTTACTGAACACCTGGACAGTTAATGGACACCTGGACAGTTAATGGACACCTGGACAGTTAATGAACACCTGGACAGTTAATGGACACCTGGACAGTTAATGAACACCTGGACAGTTACTGAACACCTGGACAGTTAATGGACACCTGGACAGTTACTGAACACCTGGACAGTTAATGGACACCTGGACAGTTAATGGACACCTGGATAGTTAATGAACACCTGGACAGTTACTGAACACCTGGACAGTTAATGGACACCTGGACAGTTACTGAACACCTGGACAGTTAATGGACACCTGGATAGTTAATGAACACCTGGACAGTTACTGAACACCTGGACAGTTAATGAACACCTGGACAGTTACTGAACACCTGGACAGTTAATGGACACCTGTACAGTTAATGAACACCTGGACAGTTACTGAACACCTGGACAGTGAATGGACACCTGGACAGTTAATGAACACCTGGACAGTTACTGAACACCTGGACAGTTAATGGACACCTGTACAGTTAATGAACACCTGGACAGTTACTGAACACCTGGACAGTTAATGGACACCTGAACTGTACCAATTATTGTTATTATTATTAATGAATATTAAATATGAATTCATATCACTGCTGTTCAGACTGGATGTTTCAACCATGAATTAATACTTTTGTTATGTTTCATTTCTTCTTAAAAGGTGGCCTATTGACCCTCCCTAAGCCCCGCCCCCTTTAGCTCTGCGCTCCAATAACAGTTTAGTAAGCCACGGTCAACTTCTGCTAACTGCTAGTTACTGCTAATGCTACTAATAGCTACTTTCTCCGTGCATCAAGGAAGACGACTGAGGCTTGCTCAACTGCTATTGGAGCACAGAGCGAAAGGGGGCAGAGCCTAGGAAGGGATAATAGTGACATTTTACACCTTTAATGTTGATCTTGGATCACCTTTTTAATTTTAGACTGTGTACCTAACAGGAAGTTCCTCCTTTTACTGTCTCACCTCCATGAATTATTCAAATGCTCTCGTTTGGAAAACGGTTTATTTTTTTTGGTCGAACAAATTCTCACGATAACTGTCCAAAGAAAACATATTTTGAAGTTTAATAGACTCCTCATTTCTTTCTGTGTCAGAAGTCACACAGTAGTTTAAACCTCTCTTTAAATGTGTTAAACATCAGCATACAGGTCGGAGTCGTCTGCATATCGAGACACTGCACCTGTCCTGAACTATTAAAGTTATCTACTACCACTACACCTTCAGCTACTGCTGCTACCACAAGTACTAATACTACTGTCACTAGTAGTACTTTAGAAGAAGTACTCGTAGTACTCAGTGTCATACAGTGAAGGCAGTGTTTCTGTAGTACTTTCAGATTATAAAATACTTCCTATACACACATACAGTCTGTCTTCTGGAGCTGGATGGTACAACAGTTTCCTGAAGCAGTTTCAGTTCTGGGTTTGAAGCGTCTGATGAAACCTGCTGTTTGTGGTTCATCACAATCACCCTCTGAAACAGGAAGTGAGCTGAGTACTTCTCTCGCTGTGAAGGAAGACGGGTCATCCTCCTGGTGTTCCTGGTGTGCACCGAGGCCGGGAATCTGACGGAGGTCCGAGTCGAACTGGGTCACAATGCCACACTGAACTGCTCACTGGAACCACCAAACATCTACTGGTTCATGGAGGTACACAGTCAGTGCAGAGCCCTCATCATACGTACTTTTACTAAGAATAAGACGAACAGTAACTCCATTTATACTACTTTTATAAGCAAATATATAGCGGAGGTAAACAGGCTTACGATTGTGAACGCCACAGCAGAGGACTGCCGGCTGTATTTCTGTGCCAGAAAACCAAATAACGGCTTTATATTTGAAGATACTTTCCACCTCGTCTCAGGTAAGAACTGCAGTTTATACCTCGTTTATACTTCATAATGCTGGAAACTTCAGAGCTGAATTCTCTCCTGTCACATTTAATTAATTATCTATGTATCTATATATCATATGAAAGTACACATATTCATAATGAGCTAACTGCTTGTTAGCACGCATATTAGTAGCATATTAGCTCTTTATTAGTCATTATAAAGTAACTATGAGGGTTACAGACATTGTTTAATTCGCTGTTACACAATCTGATGAATACTTTATATAGTGAACCACCAGCACATTGGGACGATATGGCAGAGTGAGCTTCTTGTGTTCGTCTTATTGGCCCCGAATGTCCTCTTTGTCTTCGTCGTCTTTGGTGAGTGTTTTTAACCATATTTGACTCTGTGGTCAGCTGCACTATAAATACCTACAGCTCAATGGCATCATGTGATTGTGCTGCTGCTACAAAGGAACTGCTGTACAAAGTAAAAACACTACAGGATGTTAGCATGTAGCTTCACTGACCTGACACCAAATGTCCAACTTACATATGTATATAACCTCTAACAACCACACCTTGTGTGTGGACATTATTTTGGCAGGTTTGGTTTTTAGACCTAACCTTATGAAGAAGAACTGCAACATCCAGGTGAATGACCCTTCACCTTTGACCTCTAAGACCCCCGAGAGGCTGGGAGCAGCACAGGTAAACACACTGCTGCTATTTATCATTACATTATTTATACTGCTGCTAATGCTACTGCTAGTACTAGTTGTTGCTACTGCTAACATTACTGCCACTACAGCAAGGCAAGTGCTAACAGTACGACTGATAATGCTACAAACCTGCAACTACCTGTACAACCAGCCAATACTGCTAGCCACTGCTACATCTGCAGCTAATGCTGTTACTAACCTGTTATTGTTGTTCTGACATCATACATAACAACATAATCTGTACTCCTGCTGTGTGTTTCAGAATGAGGACAGCGCCCTCGACAGAGCCCCCCTGCCTTCTGCTAATCCTTCAGAGTGTACCAGTGTTTACTACACGGCTTCAACACTGACACCTGAGTGAACACCTGGACAGTTACTGAACACCTGGATGGTATAGTAGTAATTAGCAGTAAGCAGTAAATAGCATTAGCAGTAAGTAGCTTGCTCCACTTGCACAGAGCAGAAAGGGGTGGAGCTTAGGAAGGTTTTGAACCTGTAATGTTTGTCTTAAAACCCCCTTTATCTTTAGACTGTGTACCTAACAGGAAGTCAACACGTTTGTGTTTCTGTTTGTGTTTCTGTCAGAACAAAATCTCTGAAAACATAAAAGTTTAACAGACTCCACATTTCTGTGTCAGAGGTCACTGACAGTGTCACACAGTATTTTAAACCTGTCTGTAAACATGTCAAACATCAGTATATAGGTTGGAGTCGTCTGCATATAGAGACACTGCAGCTGCTGGAGAGACTGTTACTATATTACATTAAAAAAGAAGCTCTGAGACACAGATCCTGTTACTGGAGGCAACCAGGAGCTTCAGTTCGAGCTGCTTTCAGCCGTTGAGGTTGTGGGTGTGGGTGGAAGGTGTGAGGTTGAACAAACTCTCCACTAAGCCTCAGATTTAACACTTGAAACCTTTTATTTGACAACATTACAGACACATTACTGCAGAATTCAGAATGTTTATTACTAGAATGTACAATAAAGTCTTTGCTTCAGGTTTTGCTGTTGTTGTTGGGTAAAGGTGTAAACTCTCTGAAGCAGCTGTTTCTGAGACAGTGTAAACAAACAAGGTGTTGTTTGTCTGAGCTCGGAAAGTTTGATAAAGGCATCAACCTCCTACTCACACTGTGGAGGTTTGAGAAATATCCTGGGTGGGAAAAGTTGGCTAAAACTTGAACCTTTTTCTTTTGAAAGAAATGTTGCTTTGTGACTGCAGCAAAACCACATACAGAGGTGTGATTTTAATACTTTGGTCTCTTCCTGCTGCCTCCACCTGCCCTTCAACGTTTCCGTTCCAGCCTACAGAGCGAAAGGCTTTACAATCTGATCAATCTGAGGACAATACTTATTGATTACTCTTAAATTAGGTCTACAAACCGGTGAAACTGAGTTGAATGACGGCCAAGATAATGTGTTAAACGTGTGTGAAATGTTGTCGTAATTACAGCATCAATTGTTCACCAATGTGTTTGTGATAGTCAGAAGGTCTGTTGGCAGTGATAATAAAGTTGTGCTTTTGTACATTTATAATAAAGTTTTGGGGGGGGATTTTAAGCTGTGAGGAGCAGAGAGTTCAGATATTTGTGTAAAGATGTAGGAAGTAAAAGTAGGAAGTTGTCATAAAATAAACACTTATTAAGTAAGTGTGGTATCCGAAGGCCTTTAAATTTAAGTTACAGTTTGTTATAATTTCAAGTGATATTTTTGTCAACATATGCAGTGTTAGTAAGACATGAGGTTCAACGTCGTAATTCTTACTATGAAATGTTTAGGTTAGGGGCCTCTTCGAAGCCCCTTGGACCTTTACCTTCTGACGTAAACATTTCAGTACATCTGATTTCTTTTTTTCATCAGCCTTTAACCGCAGAGCGACTGAAGTTGTTAATGAAGAGAAACCACTTCCTCTTGTCAATGTGATTCAACTGGGGCTGATCTGAACACTGAATGCTCCTCTTATCATATGTATTTGCATCCCTCACACTAAAACACACCAAAACACACTAAAACACACTAAAACACACTAAAATACATGAAAACACAAAATAAATACATTAAAACCTGTAAACATACACAAAAGAGGAACGAAGAATCCACTGAAACACAGTAAAAACATAAAAATCCACTCTGTCATCTGATCTCTGTGGAAACATTCTGGTGTCACAGTGTCGATCAGCAGATTTCACAACGATATCATCATCATCATGTGTCTGCCACCGAGGTCAAAGGTCAGAGACATCAGAACGATACCAGACAAAAACTTATTCCTGTGACCTTGTGAGGAAACAGAGCGACTGTCTCATGACTTCTTGTGGACTCACCGATACATAAACCAGAACCACTGTTGGCTGCTAACCAGAAACCCAAACACACTGCAGAGGGTTGCAGTGTCTCTTAACAGCCAGCAGGGGGCAGCTCCACTCTATTAGTATTGAGTCTTATGGAGATTAATGAGTTCAGTAAACAGTTTCCTGATGAGTTTCTGGTCTCAGTCTCTAGTTACAGTCTTCTTCCATACAGCATGATGTTCATTTAGTAACTGATGGTCCCATTTAGAGTAAAACAGACCATAAAGCAGGGTATGCTTTAGGGCGGGGCTACCTTGTGATTGACAGCTCATTCTCAGTGAGTCCGTCCAGCTCAACACACCACAAAATACACTAAAAACATGCAAAATATACACAAGACTGCACTAAATATGCACAGAAATACACTAAATATACACAGAAATGCACTATAAAGACTGGAAATACATGAAAAAGGCATGGAAATATGTAAAATAGAATGAAACCAGTAAAAATAGCTGAAAACTGCAGTTGAAGTGTCCAAACAGTGAGCTTTCACTCTCACAAAGCAGAGAGTTGGCGCCTCCTGCAGCTGTAAAGAACAAACACATTGAAAGTGCACAAAAAATACACAAAAACATACATTAAAATACATGAAAAGGCACAAAAATAGACATAAACATACATTAAAATACCTGAAAAAGGCACAAAAATAGACATAAACATACATTAAAATACATGAAAAGGCACAAAAATAGACATAAACATACATTAAAATACATGAAAAAGGCACAAAAATAGACATAAACAAACGTAAACCAGTGAAAATATCTGAAAACTGCAGTGAAAGTGTCCAAACACTGAAACAAACATTAAAAACCCACAAAGAAGAAGAAAATATTTAAAAATAAACTGTATGATCGATTTAGTTGCACATACTGCTAACAGAAAGAGTAGCATCAGTACAGGTAGTGTTAATAGTTAATACAATTATTATTTATAGTCCTGTAATGAGTTGCAGTTCCTTCTAGCTCCACGTGGGGGCGCTGTAGTGTTACCGTGTGTGTGTGTGAGAGAGAGACTGTGTGTGTGTGTGTGTGTGTGTGTGTGTGTGAGAGAGAGACTGTGTGTGTGTGTGTGTGTGTGTGTGTGTGTGTGTGTGAGAGAGAGACTGTGTGTGTGTGTGTGTGTGTGTGTGTGGCTGCACACACTTTATTTGACTTTATTTCATTTATTTATTTTAGTTATTGATCAAATTAAACACAAGACATAAAAACAATAAAGAGATCAATAAGTCAGATGATTGATCTCTGTATGAACTGAATAATTTCTGATCGGAATTTTTTTTATTAAACTCATCAGCTGCATTTTATTATTTTATTTTATTTTGAAACTGACAGGAAAACCTTTCTCTTTACATTCTGACGTAAAAAATAAAACAAATAAAATAAATTATAAATTATAATAATAATATTTTTTGTCTAAATACAGAATTCAATGACAATATAAAATACTGAAGAGCTGTGTAAAGTCAGAATTATTGATCCGAAATAACGACATAATGAATGCTGTTCTGCCTTCAAAATAAAAGCATTGAAACCTTTGTCAAGAATTGTAGTTTTTACTCTAAACATTAATTATTATATATAATTATATAATAATAAGATTAAATGTAATATTTGACTCACTGATTAAAATCTAATCTCAGGTTTGTTCAGGAAAAAGTTTTTCATTCTTTTTAAATACATAAAATAAATATATAAAATCATGATGAACATTAAACGCGGGAAAATAAAATACAATTTAACGTTTGATTTTATGATCATAAATGTGTGTATATATATATATATATATATATATATATATATATATAAAGTTATAATCTATAAACCTGTCATTAGTTAGCGCATTAACCGTTAGCTCGCCAGCTAATTCTGGTCACAGCAGCTACGGTCGCTTTATTATTATCAACAAAAATATAAATCTGATAATATTTTAATATATTACTGTAGATGATTAAACTGCCCAGCAGCAGATAAAGTCAAAGAGTTAAGTTCAGTTTACTTTAATAATAATAATAATAATCCAGAATATTATTCTGAACATTTATCTGTAAACCTGCAAAATAATTCAATTATGTTTTATTCATTGTTTTATATTTTTGCTTAAATGAATGAAGAGATTAATTTTCAATTATTTATTTATTTATTTACTTACTTCAATTAACAAACATAATCAAACAACAAGAGTACAGAATAATAATAATCAATAATAATAATAATAATAACAATAATAATAATAATAATAATAATAATAATAATAATATTAGCAACTAAAGTGGAATTAAACTGAGAATGAAAAACGGGAATAATCACACAAAAATAATATGTTTTTAAATGTTTATATTTATTATTATAAAGTATTTTGCTCCTTTGACTCGTAAATTCTTCTTCTACGATCTTTAAAGTCGCTGCGAGTGGTGCTTTTATTCTGAAAGCGCGTGACGGAAACGCGGTGGTTTATTTTGGTGGAGCTTGACGGTTCGGAGCGCGAGAGCGGCGGAGAGAGAGAGAACGAGGAGGAAGAGAGGGAAAAGAGAGGAGGAGGAAGAGGAGGAGGAAGAGGAGGATAAAACCCAGCGGACGGACGGACGGACGGACGGACGACGGGACCGGAAACAAAGAAAACAAATGTGGAATAATCCGCCAACTGCGCGCGCGACACCCTGAGGAATATTTCCGCTCGCGGAGGAATATTTAAAAAAAATAGTTTTTCATTTTCGGGCTGTTTTTTTGTGGATTGGATCCCTCCGCCGCTGCCGCCGCTGCCGCCGCTTCCTGCCGGGACTCCGCGGAGGAAAACACACACACACACACACACAGAGTTCAGCCCGTACCGGAGGGCACGTGCGTGTGTGCGCGTGCGCGTGTGTGCGTGTCCAGGTGTGTTGTCCTCGCGCGGCGGTTGGTCGCCGCTGCTGTTCGTTAAATTTGATGTTTTTCAAACGGAGTTCCGCGCAGCTTTTATTTTGACCTGTGCGTGTGAGTCTCAGCATGCGGCAGCGAGGCTCCCGCACCAGACTCCATTCATAAACTGCTCATTTTTATTTATTTTGCTTTGTGTGTGTGTGTGTGTGTGTGTGTGTGTTTTTGTGCCCCTGTTTGTGTTTGTGTTTCTGTGTGAGTGTGTGTGTGGGTCCACGCGCCCGTCCTACATCAGCACGCGGCAGATCAATGAGGATGGATCTATTTACCTGAGCACGAGAGAAGATTTAAATGTTTTTTATTAGTTTTTACCGGATGGATATGAGATCAGAAATAATCCAACTGAGACATTAATAAGAACAAAAGGTGAGTTTAGAAATATTAATATAATATTTTTATTTATTTATTTATTTATAACTCATAATAATAATAAGGATATTTAACTGATTAATTGTTTCCACGTTAGGATATTCATATTTCACATTAGTTTGTGCTGTCACATTAATAATAACTGGACTTTTTATTTGGAAACAAATAATTCATAATATACAAACTGTAAATTTAATTTCTCTTTTTATCACTTTTATTTAGTTTTTATTGTATTTTCACTCTTTTTATACTTTGTATCCTGTAGAAACATCCAATATATCAGGAATATATCAGATGTCACAGTTAAATCACAATGTTTATCCTTGATCTGTTCCAGCCTGATGAACAGACGATCATAAGTATTGATCGTGAACATAATTGTTAAAATGTCCATTTGAGACTTTAAAATAAAGTAAAATCAGAGAACAGCTGTTCCACCTGTTAGCTGCTGGCACAAAATATTACAAAATATAGAAAATCGGAAAGAATCGATGACGTTGATCAGAATATGGATTTGTTTAATTTTAGTCGGTATTATATTTAATAATGAATTTATTTTATTAAACTGTTAATATTCACATTATTACCAAAGTTATGGATTAAAAATGTCTCGACCATTTTATATTAGCCGCTAGCTCAGCTACAACACAGCCGTTAGCGTAGCTACAAACAGGTAGCACACGGAAAGTTTTACAAACAGCGTGAATGTGCTTCTAGTGACTGTAAAAGCTCCAGCAGACAGGCTGGTTAGCGCTGTTAGCTCTGTTAGCTCTGACTACCACCTCGCTGTTCCTGCTACGCTGCTGTGATGCAGTGTGTAGTTTCTGCCACTAGGGGCTCTCTCACATCAAAACAATAAGAAAACAGGTAGGAAGCTAGATGCAGCGTGGGATCATGGGAGTTGTTGTCTTCACCACCATCGCCGTCATTTTTTATGAGGAAATTACAGATTTAATTATCAATCGTATGTTTTAGAGAGAAAATCTGCTGGAAGAGAGAGTGTGTGTGTGTGTGTGTGTGTGTGTGTGTGTGTGTGTGTGTGTGGCCATGCTCATCTATCAAACCACACACACACACACACACACACACACACACACACAGCTGTCCTTCAATAGTCTGGAGATAAGAGACGTTATTGAAATCCCAGCTCCCTAACAGCCATCAATCACTGTGTGTGTGTGTGCGTGTGCGTGTGCGTGTGTGTGTGTGTGTGTGTGTGTGTGTGTGTGTGTGTGCGTGCGCGTGTCTGCTGGATTATGACTTCCCCGGGAAACGAGGCGACGTGACTTATCAGTCCTCCGGCTGGGTGATAAAACACACACAGTCTGCAGCTACAATGCTCGACATCAGTGTGTGTGGGTGTGTGTGTGTGTGTGTGTTCTCCAGAGACTCAAATTATTCTGTTTTTACGTCAATTTATGAGGTGGAAAAATGTGGAAACGTAACTTTGTGAAAGGATGTAAAAACACAATAATTTGAGTTTTGTGAAAATGTGTGAAAGTAAAAATATTATTAAACTTAATGTTCTCCAAAAATTAAAATAATTTTTTCTGCCGTTTTATAAAATGCTTTCGACTCAAACTGGATAAATGTGCATTTCAACCGTTTACTGTTCAGGAAACCTGGAGCCCTTTTTCTGTGTAATTTAATGGGTTTAATTTAGTTTTTTATTATTGAACAGTTTCTGAAACAGTTTCTATCCAGCAAACATTTAAAAAAATACAAAGTGACATTTAAAAGTGATTAATACTGCATTTGAAATAGTGAATATCTGAGCTGCAGAAACAAACATCAAATAGAAGATTATATTTATTATTATTATATTTTATTATTATCCCCTTAAATTCAATGAAAGGAGAAAGAAACACAGCTGCGTCTGTCCACAGGGGGCACCAGAATCAACTGTTCTTTGTTGCTTTAACCAGATTCAGACGCCGTTAAAGGGTTCCTAAAAGGTATAAAATTAAACATTTACATATTGAGGAAGAGAACTTCCCTGGTCGGGTTTAAAAGAGACTTCAATAAAATATAAAACGTAGTGAAACTGATTCTGTGACGGAGTGAGACCTCTGTTCCTGTTCAGAAACCACAGTGTCGCTTTCACTCAGAAAACTTCCTCTCATGTGGTTTTTCTCTCCGTCTGCAGACATGGCGGTCTGAGCGGCGTCCGCGAGGCAGACGGTCCCGTCTGAAGCCGAAACCAGAGGGCTGCGGGCTCACAGCATGGTGAGGTCAAAGGTCAACGTTTCTGAAGCTGTAATCAGATCATATCTTGTTGTGTATGATTATATTTTCAGTTTTACAGTTTAAACCCTCAGAAATAAAAAAGGATTCTTAAACCTCCATTGAGTTGTATTGATCCTGAGCCTATCGCTATGAATCACATTTATTTATTTATTATATTTATTGTTTACAACAGGACGACTTACTGGAACAGTTGAGAAGAATTATAATTTCTGTGTTCAGAAACGGTTCCTCGCTGATTTTCCATTAATTCCATTAATAAGTTTAATTTTCCTTCAGACACACTTTTCGAACCTCTTTTCTTTTTACTTTTTCGTGCCCTGAAAAACGAGTGAAGGATCTCTTTGCTTCCTCCACATCTCAGGCGGCCACCCAGCTGTCTGGATAATTTCCTAACGGCCCTGCGGCTGATAGCCAATCAGAGATGGTTCACGACGCTGTGTGACAGGAAATTCAATTAGCCTGTTTTCTTTTTTTTATATTACACCTCTCTCTCTCTCTCTCTCTCTCTCTCTCTCTCTCTCTCTCTCTCTGCCATGCTTTCCCTTTGTCTCTCGCTCTCTCTTTGTTGATCTCATGCTTCCTCTTTCTCTTTTTCCTCTCCCTCGCCTCGCCTCTCCTCTCTTTTCTCTCTCTCCCCCTGTTTCCTGTCGAGGGAGAGTGAGAACGTAGCTCCGGGCGTTGTATGCCATCCAGGAATAAAAAAAAAAAGGCTGCTCTTATTTTTCTCCATGAGAGGAAAAATGAAATCACAGGCTTCATTTTCTGTAGTGGAGATTCTCTAAATGGACGAAATCCTTCCCCCGTCCTCCATTCCTGTTTGTCCTTGAATGATGAATTCAACCACGCACTACCTAACAGGTCATTAAAGGGAGTTTGTTAATGTTTCTGGTGTTACGAAGGTTCCCTTCTGTCTAGTCTGGTCATTACTTACTGTGACTCCTCTCTATGTTGCAGGTGGATGCCAGCACACCTTACAGGATGAACCCTCTAGCTGCCCTCAGCATCGACCGGAACGCTCTGGTTGGGGAAACCTACCGGCCCCACGGAGGTATTTTCTATCCCGGCATCCATCCTCTCTCTGGTGAAAAGCCCCAGGAGGCTGGCACTTCTCTCCCGCTTGGCTATGATCTCCTGTACAAACCAGACGTAACCCTGTTGGATGGGCAGAAATCTGGAAACGGATATGTTGGACTATATAAGAGCCCACCACCAGGGTTTCAGAAACCCCTCATTGTCCCTGCCACAGGAGCTGATGGCCTGGGGATGGATCGCCGAGTTCTACCCGGTGACAAGCAGTCAGAACTGGGTCTGAATGGTGCTGGCACCTTCTTGAGATTGCCCTGGTTCAGCCCTTATGCTGATGCAACAATGTACCCCTTCCTGGACATGGCTTACAAGGCCTCCTTCCTGTCCCAGCCGTCGCCCTTCCTCCACCAGCAGCTGGCGTATCAGTCTCTGTGTGCCGCTGGGGCAGCAAGCAGCACCCCCGGGGAAGACAGACTTTTCTACCTGCCTCATTACTCCCCGGCCCATATCTCGTCCCCTCTTGGCCCTCCAATACGGATCCACACAGCCACTCCAACTCCTGCTGTCCTATCACCCCTGCCCCACTGCCAGGACAAGGCCTTACAGGGTCTTAGTCCTCAGATACATCAGGAACACTCTGCCTTCAGCACCAGTCCACGGATCCACCGGGATACTGTTCACCACACTGAGCGACAACATGGCAGCAGTGGCACAAAGTCTAGTCAGCTCACTTCCACCAACAACTCTCTCAGTAGCAAAAGTGGTGGAAGTAGTGGTGCCCCTGTTAACAGTTCAGCTAGCACTGCTGCCTTAGAGTCACCCCCAGTAACCCATCCTCCATGCACAGTTCCTCCACCCCAACCCCTAACAAACACCACTACAGACCTCCAGAAGTCGCTTCACAGAAGCACCTCCTCATCCTCAACCTCGCTTTCAGTGTCTCACCCGTTTTACATGAGCAGCCGGAGCTCTGAGCACTGCTCTCCCGTGCCCTCGGGCAGCAACAAAACCAAAGATGCCAGCTCAGACGGCTGTAGTGCAGAGAAGTCACCTGCAAAGACGTCCCTGGACAGAGCCGTACCTCAGAAGCCTGCCAAAAACTCAGCAGAAAAACCTTTGGATCTGTCTGCCAAAGAGTTGGAAGGATTCCCAAATGGATTCCCGTCCAAATTAGAGGCCCTGGCCAAGCTGGGGTATCTACCACCATCTCGTTACGGGCTGCTAGCCAGTCAGGACCAGCACTCAAAGGAGGGTCAACCCCCACTTGTTAGCACGTCGACAGAGACTCCAAATCGTTGTGAAATAATCAGCACTGTGCCCTCTCCTTGGGTTGTTCCTGGTCCTTCCCCAGCTGTCAGCTCTGACCACAGAGGCTCCCAAATTATGAAAAACAAGAGTGCAGATCATCATGTACAACCTCAAAGCTCACCTGGCTCCACAGCAGTTGAGGTAGCCAGTATTCCAAGTCCTGGTGTAGGGGGAAGACCCTCTGCATCTTCTCCTTCCCCAAAGTCCAAAGTTGAATGGCCAGGCGCTCCCTCTACTGATTTGGAGAAAGTCAATCCAAACAGTAAAGGAGAAACTCATACATGTCCTGGAAAACAACAGAGCGTTACTCCTGCTAAGTCGGAGGCTCAAGAGAGCCAGTCTCATCCACAACAGCAGCTTCGTGTAGAAAATGGAAACTCCTCCAGTCAAATCTACGGTGACTCTTACCTCCCTCCTGGCTTAGGTTACACTAACCGCTACATCCCATACTCAGTTGCTGAGAATATGTCCTTGCAACGTATGACGATACCAGGCAAAGGGCCTGTCTATCCCCATCCAGTCTTGCTTGGCAGCAGCAGCTTTTACCCGCCTCGCGTGGCACCAAAGCATGGCCTTCCATATGGAGTACCTCCAAACAAGGTCGACTTCATGACATACCAGAATTCCCGGGGGATAGCCCCTTCACCTGCTTCCTCCCATCCAGGTCTTGACTGTATTGAGACCCAGGATAAAACCTGGAATGCTGAACCATACAGGAAGCAGGAAAGGCTGGATGCTGACAGTTACCACAAGAGTGACACTGAAAGAGACAAGTCCACAAACCAAACCTTAAAGACTTCAGGCAAAAGCCTCACTTCTGCCAGAGATGATGTTGTTGTTATTGACCTCGTACGTGATGAGTCAGAAGATGATTTGTCCACCAAGAAGCAGAGCTCCCTAGGTACCAAAAGAGAAGATTCCTCCAAGCATGGCAGCAGTGGCTGTAACCACATCCAAGACAGAGACGTCCCTCCCAGCCAGGATACCGAGCAGAAACGAGGCTTACAACCTCACACTTCCCAACCACAACCTCCTCATCATAACTCCTCTTCACCTCCTTCTCCTCGTGAGGAGATCCCAGACGAGATCTCAGAAAAGGAAGAGCCACTCAGTCCATTCCCGGACATCCCAGAGGAGCAGACGATGCGCTGTGCCCGAACTTCTATACAGCAGTTCTCTAGGAAATGTAAAAGTGGAGCCTCTGTTAGTGCTGGGGACTTGATGAGGGGTGTCACTACTGGTGTTGATGGGAAGAGTGAAGCCTCATCCAGTAAAAGCGTTAACCCCGAGCAAAGCCCTTCCGAAAATGGCAACTCATTGGGTCCTTTTAGTAAAGAAAACTGTTCCAGTGACTGTAAGAGTGCTAACATCATGGGAACAGTGGGTCTGGTCACCAGCGGCTGTCATTCAGACAATAAGGGATCGGCAGGTAGAGAGTTCAGTCCCCAGGTCCCAGCATGCAGGAGTTTTAATCCCAGGGTTCCAGCTGGAGGAGTTATTAACACCCATTTTAACATCAACCCAAGAAGTCCCACATGTAACAGTGGAGATCCAAATTTGGTCAGCAGACATTTTGTGGGCCCATGTTGCAGAAATCTGCCTCTGAAGGCCCCAATTTGTGAACCCAGGATTTTCAGCGCTCCAACTCATGGAAATAGCAACCCTGTAACTCCAAACTGCAGGAGCATCAATCCCACGTTTACAAATTGTGAAAACCGCAATGCCATGCGCCCAGTTTGTGGAAACATCAATCTCAGGGCTCCTGCATGTGGGAAGAACTGTTTTAGTTGTCCAAATTGTGGGAATTCTCTCTCGAAAGGTTATTCTTTTGGAAATAACCAGAGCTGTGTAAATAGCAATCCCAGGGTCCCCACGTATGGAAGCAATTTTCCTTTGGATCCAACCTGTCGGCACCTTTCACCTGGCAACCCTACCAATGGAGGCTTTAACGTGATGCCTGCAGATCTGACTCCAGAACCAAACAAAGACCTAAATTCTGAAAGCCTTTCTTCCAAAGAACCAGAGCCAAACTCCGGCCTCACCACTGCTAGCTGTGGAGACGGTGAGAAAGACATCCAGGACAGCATGGACATCCTGGCAGACGATGAAGAAGGTGCTGGCAAGAACCGGCTCTCCGGCCTCACCAAACGCATCGCCAACTCCTCCGGCTACGTGGGCGACCGGTTTAAATGCGTAACCACGGAGCTTTACGCTGACTCCAGCAAGCTGAGCAGAGAGCAGAAAGCACTCCAGGTAAGATCTGCATTTAAAGTCTCTCTTCATTAGTCCAGTAAACAGTGATAGTCTGGTGAGACGGAGAGGGCGAATCTGATTTTCACTAGTGGTCTGGAGTGTAATGATTGCACCGCCGCTGCCTGGTTGTGTTCTGCTTACTGTTCATTAAGGCAATTTAACTTAACTCACAGAGAGGAAACAGGCTTCACTGTGATATAATTCGACTGTACAGCTCTGTGTTAAACCATGATGTCGCCATCGTGGAAGTCCCAATTCTTACTGTACAAGTGTTTTAAGTTTCTCTCTCCGGCCCCAGAAAGCTTAAATCCTCACGCTACCATAGTGAAACCATACGAAATAATGTTCTTCAGCTGTTTTACGATGCACTTCAGGAAGTGCTTGTCATTCATATTATGACCTTATGGGTCAACATGCAGGTTAACACATAGCTTAGCTAACAGTCCGGGGCTGTGAAGTGTCTTAAACCTGCATTCTCTCTAATGGCCAGCAGGGGTCAAGCCTTCCTCCATACAGCATGATGCAATCAGGCCAAACTCGAGGCTTACGATTTCGGGGCCGTTTTTCCAAACCCTTGTTGAGGATGAGGATTTGTTTGAGGTTTTGTCAGGGTGTTTAAATCTGAAAGAATTATCAGGTATGAAGAGGTTTGTTCTCCTCTTTCACCTCCTTTTTTCTTTTTCCGTCTACGAATATTTTGGGGTTGAGTGAGGATAAAACCGGCTGTATGTGTGTGGCTCCAGGCAACTGTTATCCTGCTGGGTGTTCCCCAAAAAATGAAGGAAACTGAGGCAGAAAGTCTTATTATCTTACTGCCGTCTATCTGTCTCAGCATCAGTTCTTTGCTGTTTGTGTTTTTCTGCCTCTCCGTTCGTCATTTGCTTCTTGTTATTCCTCTTTTTTCTCTTCACCACCCCGTCCCCTCGAGATCCCCCCTTCAACTCAAATTAAATCTCTCCATCCTCCTCCCCCCTCTTCATCCTCCTCTTCCATCCCTCGGCAGATGGAGGAGGAAGGAAAGTGGTAGTTTTAATGAAATCCTCCTCTTCTCCCTCATCCTTGGAGCCCAGATTAGCCTTGACTACTTCAACCACGCAGACACAGAAAGTGTGCGCTCTGGCATCTGTTGTTTTCCTAATGGAGGCTGTGTTGTGGTGAAGTAAGAATAAATAAATAATGAACTACATTTCCCATCAAACAACTTCTCTTTATAGTAAGAACTGGACCAAAATGATGCTCCGGATTTCTGCTGAGTGACAGTGAACACTAAACTGTGACCTACAAACAGTTTTATCTGAATATTTGACTCAGCTGAGAAAATCATAATTTTGAGTTTTGGGAAATTAAGGATCAAGTGTTTTTGGATCCAGTTTCAAGCAGGTCACTGATAAGTTGTGTTTTTGTACAGTAATCAGTGAGGGACACGTTGATCTGATCTCAAAAGGTTAAAAAGGTATTTTTCAGTTCATCGGGACTAAAATTAACGTTATGTAAAAGTGTGAGCTGATTATTTACAGGTATTTGAATATGTTGTTTTAAATTTGTTTCTGGACAAAAAGAGTCCTGACTATATAGATAAAGACAAAGAGAGGACATGTTGGCGAGACAGCTGATATGATATTGTTTGTGGACGTCTCTCTCAGCTGTTTCCCGCCTCTTAAAGGACTTTAGCGGACAGAAAGCTGAGCTGTCAGGCGGTTCGTTCCCTCTGGAAGGCTGTTTGCTCGGTCAGTCGTGGCTCCTGGAGGAGGAAGAGGAGGAGGAGGAGGAGGGTTACTACTCAAATTAACTCACATTTTGCTCCTACGCCCTTGGGTGCTGCCGACTCTGAGCGGCAGTGTTGGATGGATTTGTAGATCGTTTCACGGGCCATTAATTTTTAAAATGGGTTTGTGGTCAGGGCAGAGCGAGGTGAGCGAGAAATACTGGCCTGTCGCAGAGCGCATGGGGAGTGGTTACCGACGGTTACCGGTGGTAATACTGAGGTTTTGTTCAGTGGAGGATGAACATCTTGGCTGTCTGTCTGAGTGGGACGATGGGGAGTTTATCATGAATCAGACAGAAAACAGGTGTTTACTGGTTGCTTCATTTTGAGAGTGAGACATCTCAACATGATAACATTTAAAATGGAAATGTATCTCATAAAAGCATCAGTGATAAATGAAGTGACAGATTATATTAGCACCGATAAGTGTCAGCGGCAGGGTGAGGGGTTCGGGGATCAGGAGCTCGGAGTACAGCCACCACTTCTGGCATTTGATTAGGATCCTCCTGGGCGCCTTCCTTTGAACGATTGGAGACAACTGGGAGGAGATGGCGGGAAGTCTCTGGAGTGGTTATACTGCTTTTCCACCAAAGCAGTTTGAGGGCTGGTTTGGAGCCTAATCTCAAATCAGTTCTTTGGCTGCGGCCAAGAAAACTGGTTCCAGTGCAGCACCAACATTTTGCTGGCCTAGAACGGAGAACCACTTACAAAAAGAGCTGGAGGCCCTTTGTGGCCAGGCGGCTTTGTATTTAAGCGTAACCGTGGTTATGAAAGCTAACGTTGGAGACATGGCTATCTAGCCTGGAAAAGCATACCAGTTCTTGTAACGTTCTACATCTTTCTACCAACGCAAACCTAATGCTAGTTCTTGTTCTGGTGCTAGTACTGGTTCTGGTGCTAGTGCCAGTTTAGAGTTGGTCCAACTTAAGAACCTTCTAAGGACTGGTTTGCTTTTCCATGAGCTAGCGAGCCTCCATAGACACATTATATCTCTGGCTAACGTTAGCTATTGTTATCAAGGGTAGACCAGCTAGCTCACCAGTTTTCCAAGAACTGGTTCGAGATTAGGTGCCGGCTCCGAATCAGCCCTCAAAACTGCCTTTTGTGTAAAAGGGTAAAGTTGAACCAACTCTAAAACGGCACCAGCAGGGGGTATCACCTGGCCTGGAAACGCCTCAGGATCCCTCAGGAGGAGCTGGAAGGTGTTGCTGAGTTACTTTAGTAAAAGTAAAAGAATATATGTTATTTGTAGCACCTGTTCAGTAGTTTTTGTAGTATTTTTGGTGTGTTCAAATGCCAACAGGGTGTTATTTTTTCCCTTCAGAGCAGCAGAGTCCGGGGTCGCAGAGTGAGCTTCATATAAACTTTAGATTTTCTGCTCGTGGTTTGCGGCAGTGAAATCCTGAAGCTTCCCGAGGCTCTAGCTGCCAGAGAAAAGAGCCAGGAACTCACCTCTGACTGTTTATATCAGAATGTGACACTGAACAATCTCCCAAATGTCGACTGAATGAGTAAAGTTTGTAAAAGAGTCTCATTTGCCGACTTCCAGCCAGAGAAGGGTGTTTTAAAAATAAAGAAATTTCTTTGAATAAAAAATGTGCCACTTTCAGCCCTTGATGAGGAAACTACGAGGTTTGTTGTCACTGATGTTGTTGTGTTTTCTCTCAGCGTGCGATGCTGCGATTCTCCGAGCTGGAGCTGAAGGAGAAAGAGGGAGGAAGAGAGGAAGAAGACGACGAAGAAGAAGAAGTGATGACAGCAGCGGTGGCGGCAGGAGAGACGGAGCTGGCAGACGGCCAGCAGGGAGACGGAGAGAAGGAGAAGGAGGAGGAGGAGGAGAGGAAGAAAGAGGGAGGAGGAGGGTGGGAGCGCTGCCAGCAGAGTGAGGGGAGGCGAGGAGAAGGAGGAGGAAGAACTCCCTCTGCAGCCACCGCGGAGGCTCAGAGAGGTAAGAGGATTTCCGGAGCGCTCTGCAGGATGACGCTCACACACTTTGTTGTTTTTTTTAGGTTGATCTCACTTGAAGTCGCTTTCTTTGTCTCACACACACACACACACACACACACACACACGTTTGAACTCTCGGTGCACCTCGCTCGCTTTGAGACGAACACGCCGCTGCCCTCATTTTCTCTAGAAAGCCAAGTGCACACACATCTTTAGAGCTGGAAGTTAAAGCTTCCAAATGTCAGATTGTGAATCACTTTCTGTCTCTTTAGAATCAGTGTATTGATCAGTGTATTGATCAGTGTATTGATCAGTGAACGGGTTGTAGTGTAGCTTTGTTCCTCTGCTGCCTGTGGACTGATCTCTATGTGTCTCTATGTAGGGATGAGGGTCAAAGGTTGTGACTTTTATGCTCCCGAGTGCCTTCTCTCTCCGCTTCCCTACAGTGCCAATAGTGGGCAACACTAGCTAACATTAGCTTTTAAATGGAGTCTGCTAACGTCTACAAACGACCGACACCCACCACAACACAGAGTCCAACACAGAGTCCAAAGTCAAAGCTAACAGTACGGCAGAGCTTGTGAAACATATTGTCTGATTGTGCTTTTAGCTGGATAACGTTAGCTTGCTTGCTAATGAATTGCTGGCTATCGTTGCAAAATACTGTCAGCCAGCGTTATCCAGACTCTGGCTAGCTTGCTGGTTGCAGGTCACTTTGATGGCTGCCGTTGTAGTGCAGCCGGTGCCAGATAACATTATAATAATAACAACAATTTTATCTGAGTGGATACGTTAGCGAGCCGAGCTGCTGCTAACGTTAGCTCAGCTTGTTTCTCTGATAACTTAAGATCCAGACGTCCGATGACTAAAATCCTTCATCCGGTTCAAATCTAGAGTTCAAAAGCACCAAGATCTAAACAGTGGATGGTAAACAGTCAATGTGTGACAGCTCCTGGTTGAATCAGCTCCATATTGAACATAGTTCTAGAGTGTATACACTGTTTAATGAGGAGATGTTATTGATTATAGACTTAACAGATTATAAGTCACAAAGAGCAAATTAAGTAATCTTCAGGAAGGATAAAGAGCACGTCGGCAGCCGCCGCCACTCTCTGGGCGTTCAGTAGTGTTCAGTGCACGCACCCAGACAACAACGTTGTCATGACGATTGCCTTTGATGGCCCGTTGCCATGGCGCGTAATGTGTCCAGGAGCCACGGGATGCACTGTGAGTCAGATGATCAGGAGAGAGCGAGAGAGCATGGGAATATATGGACAGAGAGAGAGGAGACGAGAAGGGAAGATAAAGGTGGAAAAAATGAGCGAGAAACATAAAAGAAAGGAAAGATCAGAGAGAGAGAGTAAAAGCCGACTGCGTTTGATCTGCTGTGTGTGTGTGAGTGAATCTCTGTTTAAGAATTGATTTCCTTTTAATGAGACGTGTGTGTTAAAGGTCAGAGGTCACAATAAACAGACTGTGAATCCCAGACAGTCCAAAGTGCAGCGTCTTTACGGAAAACATATAAAAAAATATTTAAAAAGTTTATGTTTGTGAGATTTTAGAATTTAATTTTCAGGGGAAAATGTGACTAAACTGTACAGAAGCCGAGTACGACAACTTTTTATTTTTATTTGTTCAATATAAATTCTTAACTTTTGCAGTATTTGTTTTTTTTGGGGTCTTACTTCACAAAACCTGTCAACACTAGAGGAAGTACCGGATATTTACAGTCCTATATCGGTGTTTTTAGTGGTTTAATCAGCGGGTCTGTTTGTTTTGGAGAGGACAAGACCTCTGTGGATAATTGGGCTCCCGGTAGAAAGCTCCTGAACCATGAACACGGAAGGAATCCTAACCGGGAGAAGCTGACTGCAATGACGCCAATGGTGGTGAAGTCAACAACTCCCATGATCCCTCACTGCTTCACCACCTCATCAAACATCCTCTTCTGTTGTTGTTTGGATGTGAGAGGCCCCCTAATGGCAGAAACTACACACTGCATGTTAACAACCACCCAGGTTTATGTGGACATACAGCAGAGTATCGTCTGCATATTGTTTGATATATATATATATATATATATGTTAAAGGTTAGGGAAGCATACCATTATTATGTTTGTCTTTGTAGGTCTCCATTCGTCGGGTCCTCACAGCTGCCTCCCCGTCCTGTCGCTGTGCCGCCACTCCGACAACCTCCCCATCCTCCGAGAGAGGGATGGCGCTCCACCGGAGGAAGAGAAGAAGAACGAAGGGGATAATCTGCTGGAGGAGAAGAAGAAAGAGGAGAGGAGTTTAGTCTCACAGCAACAACAAAGGTTTCTGTCCACAACCAGAGGCCTGTTTCAGGGAAACACCTCCGTGCTCGGAGGTTCAAATCTAAGCATGCCGATAAACCGGAGGCGTATCTTTAGTCTGGAGCCGTTCCACCAGAGCAGCATCATCAGCAGCCGGCTGAAGAGAGGGAGGGAGGAGGAGCGGGAGGAGGAGAGGGAGGAGGAGGACAGGGCGGGAAACCCCAACAAGAAGTTAACCACCGGTAAGACGATGAACACAGATAACCCACAGCCGTATATCTGCAGTGATTGATGATCAGTTATTGACTTATTGATTAGGTATGTTTAATTAAAGGTTTGTTGTTTGATCCCGTCTTACCGATCACTGGTTGTCATCCATTACAGACGCCACCCTGGACGACGTGAAGAAGCTGAAGGTTTGCATTGAACTGAACGGCCTCAGGCTTAACAAGCCCCGCCTCCCCGGAGAGCTCAGCCAATGGCTGCCCTCCAGCCAGAGGTCAGCGGAGGTCGACAGAAAGTTCAGAATGGACATCCCAGCCATCAGTGGAAGATCAGAGGTCAACGGAGGCTGGTGTGACCGTACGTTTGTGAGGAGGGAAGACCCGAGAGGTAAGGCTGACAGCGAAGGCCCAATTTTTATTATTAATCAAAATTATTCATTTATCACGTCCATACATACAAAAAAGCTTCAACTCTCAGGAGGAACGAGGAAAATAAAATCAATACAATAATAAACAAATAAAAATAATTTAATTCAATTCAATTTTATTTGTATAGCGCCAATTCATAACAGAAGTTATCTCAGGACACTTTTCAAATAGAGCAGGTCTAGACCGAACTCTTTAAAACATTAATTACAGAGACCCAACAGTACCACCATGAGCAAGACCTTGGCGACAAGGGCAAGGAAAAACTGCCTGTTAAAAGGCAGAAACCTAGGACAGATCCTCCGGCTCTAGGTGGGTGGTTGTCTGTCTCGACCAGTTGGGGTGAGAGAGAGAGAGAGAGAGAGCGACAGACAGACAAACAGGTGCACAGCAACAACAGTATTGGCAATGGCAATCTAGCAGGACCATGGCAGGAGGCTCCACCAGGATCGACGAGAACCTGCGAGACGAGAAAGCACAAGAACTCCAGGGAAGAAGTGAAGTTAGTAACATGCATTAATGGAACATGAATGAGTGCAGAAAGAGAGAGGAAGGGAGGAGCTCGGTGCATCATGGGAAATCCCCCGATAGTCTAGGCCTATAGCAGCATAACTAAGGGATGGTTCAGGACTCACCTGATCCAGCCCTAACTATAAGCTTTATCAAAGAGGAATGTCTTAAGCCTACTCTTGAATGTGGTGAGGGTGTCTGCCTCCCGAACCACAACTGGAAGCTGGTTCCACAGGAGAGGAGCTTGGTAACTGAAGGCTCTGGCTCCTGTTCTACTTTTAGAGACTATAGGAACCACAAGTAGCCCAGCATTCAGAGAACGTAGTGTTCTAGAGGGGTAATAGGGTACTATGAGCTCTTTAAGATATGCAGGGGCCTGACCATGAAGAGCTTTATAGGTGAGGAGGAGGATTTTAAATTCTATTCTACATTTTACAGGGAGCCAATGCAGAGAAGCTAGTACAGGAGAGATGTGATCTCTTTTTATAGTTCCTGTCAGTACTCGTGCTGCAGCGTTCTGAATTAATTGGAGCGTTTTAATGGACTTATTGGGGCAACCTGATAATAAAGAGTTGCAGTAATCCAGCCTTGAAGTAACAAATGCATGGATTAGTTTTTCTGCATCTGTCTGTGGTAGTATGTGTCTAATTTTTTGTAATATTACGTAAATGAAAGAAGGCAGTCCTAGAGGTCTGCTTTATGTGGGAGTTAAATGACAAATCCTGATCAAAGATAACTCCAAGATTCCTGACAGTGGTGCTAGAGGCCAAGTTAATGCCATCTAGAGTAACTATATCTTTAGACAGTGAGTCTCTAAGGTTTTTGGGGCCAAGAACAAGAATTTCGTTTTTTTCTGAGTTTAACATCAGAAAATTGCAGGTCATCCAGGATTTTATGTCCTTAAGACATGTTTGTAATTTAGATAACTGATTAATTTCATCGGGCTTGATTGATAGATATAACTGCGTATCATCTGCATAACAGTGAAAGTTAATGGAGTGATTCCTAATAATGTTGCCTAAAGGGAGCATATATAAAGTAAATAGTATTGGTCCAAGTACAGAACCTTGTGGAACTCCATGACTAACTATAGTATTTATTGAAGATTCATCGTTAACATGTACAAAAATAAGATTAAAATGTTTGTCTGATTTTTAGAGATGCTTTTATTTTGAAGGCAGCAGCTGTGAGTGTTTCTGATGAAATCTCTTCGTCTCTCTGCTGTCGTCGGCTCTCCTCCTCCTCCTCCTCTCGTCTCTCCCCGTCTCTCTTTTTCCTCTCTCTGATTGTCGGCGCTCACAAGTGGAAGAACGTGTGTGTGTGTGTGTGTGTGTGTGTGTGTGTGTGTGTGTTTTCTGACGTGTGTGTATGAACCCGTGGCGTGCTAATAGCCGTCTAACATCTCCCAGATGGAGCTGTCACACACACTCTCACACACACACACACACACACAGCCTCTTCTTCTTCTTTTGTTTTTTGAGCGCTGCGTTCAGGCTCCACGTGTTCCGTCAGGATGAAATAAATCCAATTAAATCTAAACCTGACGTTCCACAATGTGTGTGTGTGTGTGTGTGTGCTACTGAATTTAATTGACAGTTGGTGGAAAGTAACTGAGTACATTTACTTAAGTTACTGTAATTAAGGGTCTACTGGCAAAAAGTTTAATCAAGGAAACTGATACGATTTGTTGTTGATGTAAATGTATACGTTACGATGTGATTCAATACAATACGTTACGATACGATGTGATTCAATACGATTCGTTACGATATGATGTGTTACGATTTAGTGCTGTAAATCGTGTCGGGGTTGTCGCCTTTGCGATACTTGGTGGTGGTCATAATTGTTCTGATCGTCTCGTTTTCACTCCGATGTTAAAATTTTCGATAAACGGCGTCGGACTTAATGACGATGATGTCACGGTTGAAGAAACCAATAAATGCTGCATTTTGACGATTAAACGCACACACCTTCGTTATACAGTGTGTGTGTGTGTGTGTGTGTGTGTGTGTGTGTGTGTGTGTGTGTGTGTGTGTGTGTGTGTGTGTGTCCGGGCTTATAAATAATGCAACAGATGGAAGTGGCGTGACTCCTCGAAACAACCTCTGGCTGTGTGTGTGTGTGTGTGTGTGTGTGTGTGTGTGTGTGTGTGTGTGTGTGTGTGTGTGTGTGTGTGTGTGTTTCCTGCAGGCGTCTGCAATGGAAAACAGAAAACTCTGTCTCTCTCGCTCTCCCCTCCCCCACTATCTGCTACCTCGTTCGCCCGCTCGCTTGCTGCTCCACTCGAGCGAGAAGACTTCTTTGTTCCCCTCTCTCTCTCTCTCTCTCTCTCTCTCTCTCTTCCTGTCTCTTATTATCTAACTCGTCCCCCGCTGAAGGACAGACAGCAGCTCATTTGTTGGCGAGGAGGAAGAACGCACGCACAAACGGAGAGACGAAGGAAGGCGAGGGAGGGAAAGCTGCACGACAAGTTTAATATCAGGACTTCAGATGGAGTTTTAAGACCTAAAACAACTTTAATAACGTTTTCACGCAACTAAATATTCTCCCTTTAATCTGTCGTATTACCAAAATAATCAGCTGTTTAAATGGATCAATATGATGCTGGAATAACATCATCATGATCTGAACTCTGTCAGTCTGCTAGACGACGAGCAAACAATTTTTAAAATGCCTGTTTTCTGAATGGAGTTTGGTTGATCAGGGCTATGCTAATTTAGCTCACAGTAAAGTGACACAGCTGGAATCAGTAACAGACACATTTAACTTCCTGTCTTTCTTTTCTTGAGAAGAGACTGAAGATAAATCAGTTTAAATAAACTCTGAACTTCTCTCGCCAGAATTTTTATGTTCTAACAAATTTGTCTATTCTTTGTGTTTAATCTTTAAAAGCATAAAAAATTGGCTCCACTTTCTGTGTGAACACAGCATTAAACTTTACCTTTAAACTTTAGGATTATCTCTGATGTCTAAATAAATGTTAAAAATAAATCTGCCTACGTGTAGGACTTAAGTTTTCTTCAGTATCGCAGTAATCCACTGAAAGCCGTCTGTACATCCGTGAATACGATGCTGCGATGCTAACAGGAGCTTAAACTAACAATGTGTGCTAGCCACGCCCACTTCAGTGTTAAGCCACACCCATTTCATGTACGAATACCGATAATTTAATCGTTAGCAAGTGTTACGCCTTTAAACAATGAGCACTTACGTCTCATTTCTTTCTGCGTTTTCTTTCAGTTTTCCACATGGCCCCGCCCACTTCCTCTCCCTCTCATCTCCCCCGGCAACTGTGTGGCTCCGCCCCCCGGCTACCTTCCCCTGCATCCTTCACCTCCCTCGCCTCTTCCCGCCTCCAGGACAAGCATCAGAAGCTGAGAGAGAGTCGCAGGGTCTCCAGTTTCCTCCCTTCTTTACCTCCTCTTCCTCCTTCCTCCTCCTTGCTCGACCCCCATCCCTTCCACTGCCATGACGACGACCTCAGCAAGCCGAAGGGCAAGCGCCCCTGCAAGACGAAGCACACGGGAGGAGAGACGGCGAGGGAGGAGGAGAGAGACGGCGGAGGAACCGATGATGAGGAAAAGAGTGGGAAGGTGAGTGAGGAGCGCTTGTTTTTGTTTCTGTTATCCTGAGGAACTTTATACGTCATTATCAGGATAGTTTCACAACCTTAAAGGGTCATTTTAAGTTTCCTGTGTCGCAATCCTCAGGCGAACCATCTGTGGTAGCGAACCCTGCTAGCATGGCAACTAGCAGACCCTTGCATTTCCCCTCTGGTTCAAAATAAATCAGGAAGTCAACATAAGACTGTACGTCATCCCTACCTGTAACCAATCACATGCAGCGATACAACGGCGACTGGCTCCGCCCACTTATTGCACTTAAGAAAAAACAGTCGCGAACAAGCGGGTGAGGAGGTTGTGTGACCACATGGATCTCATTCCGGATTTTGGTGGCGAGATGTCGTCATACCGGAGGATCCACTGAGGTCTGTGCGCCATCCAGAGTTTGAGAGCCACCCAGGGGGGAGACGCCTGGGGGGAGCACTTGTTTTCTTCCTCTGGTCCGGAGATGCAAGTCGCCGAGTCAAAACATCCACAGGACAGAAACATGTCCGAGTTAAAACATCCACCAGAGTGAAAGTTTATCTCTTTAAACACACAGACGGTTTTATTAAACCATAAACATTAAATATTCTTTAGTTTTATACATTTAGTTGTTTTCAGTTCTTCTGTTTCTGCTCTTTTCTTTCGTCTCTCCGTTAATCGTTGCAATTATCGTCCTGATTGGAGCTCGCTGGGGAACCTCAGCAGGGACGTGTGTGTGTGTGTGTGTGTGTGTGTGTGTGTGTGTGTGTGTGTGTGTGTGTGTGTGTGTGTGTGTGTGTGTGTGTGTGTGTGTGAGTAATTCAATTCACTGCAGATTAAAGTGAAGGAGAGAGCGAGGGAAGGAGGGAGGATGGAGTGATTGAAGGTTATGGAGGAAGAATAATATTCTCCACATGTACTGTGTGTGTGTGTGTGTGTGTGTGTGTGTGTGTGTGTGTGTGTGTGTGTGTGTGTGTGTGTGTGTGCACACGCGCTTATGTGTGTGTATTTCAGTGTGTGCGGCGGTGGCGGCTTGTGCCGTTTTGACAGCTGCTGCACCGGAGATTTCCTCAGGGCAGCGAGGACGCACACACACTAAAACACACACTGTAACACACACACTGTGTCGATCCTCCTCCTTGTTTGCTGCGCTGGAAAAAAACACACACACACACACACAGACACACACTCACACACTCACACACCTCCGGGGCAAAGCTCGCATCCTGTTTGTCGATGCGTGGCGGCGAGCGGCTTCGTTTGACAGACGCCTGCGCACACACATTACACACACAAACACATTAACATGCACACGCTGTCTGGCTGCTAAGCAGCGGAGACGGTTGCCGTGGCGTCAGCAGCTCGGCGATGCAGCTTTTCATCCGTCTCTCCCTCCGACTCTCCTCGTTCAGAAAATACACTCGTTAGCTTTGATTAAGGAACATATGAAATACTGTAAATGTAAGCTCACGTTACTTTTAATAAGAGCATACATTTATTATTAAAGGTTTGTTTGAATAAAATAAAATGTTTATTCTGAGGGAAACTGTTCAGTTTAAGTGCAAATACTACAAATGTAAGCATTAAAATGTTACAAAATTAAGATAAAATTACTTAAATTGACAGATTTTTAAAGGGAGTTTTGAATACAATAAGAGTCATTAATCTGGAGGGAAGCTGAAGACCGAAGCGTTAAAGGCTGAAACGAGTCCAAATTTCCATCAAATTCAGTAGAAATACTAAAAATACTCTAATATAAGCCTGCTTCAAATAAAGGCCCCGGCTGCTGTAACAGAGGAACTAAAATGGAGCCCTGTCTCTCTCTCTGTTTCACTCTCTCTCTGTCTCACTCTCTCCACACACACACACAGATCTCGCCGTCAGACCCGTCTCGCTCTCCCGCCTGTAGAACTTCCTCTCCGCAGCAGCACGCTGCCCGGCCCGTCCCTCCTGAAGTCCGTCGGCTCATTGTGAACAAAAACGCCGGAGAGACGCTGCTGCAGCGCGCCGCCCGTCTGGGCTACGAGGTAACAGAAAACACACAGGTGGAGTGGGCGGAGTCACACATTTTTATACTTTGTTTAATTTCTGCTGCTGTTGATCTGATTTTATGTTCGTTACCTGGCTGAGTGGTAAATTGTTTTCACTTACGTCAGCCTGGAGATCCAGTCGGGGTTTTTGCTGTTTGATAGTGGATGAATGAGCAACTTGTGGCGTGATCTAGAGTGAGGTTAGAGAGTCGTATTGATCGGAGGACGGCTGATTGTGGTGGAGAGAGAGAGAAAAAATAAGGGATTGAAGAACAACTTCCTTTTGACAAATTGAGCGAGTTACTCTGAACAAAAACTCTCCCAAACAAAGATCGTTGTCTCGTTTTGTAGACCCAGTTTGGTTGAAGCTAACTGACCACATCCTGTGACTAGCTGACTTCAAAATAAAAGTGTTTGGTCAGTTAAATGTTAGCAGTCACTTAATACCGTAGCCGATCATTGAATTGTGGGAAAATTGTGATTAGTCGATTAATTGTGCATGAAATTTTTTTTTAACCCTTTAAGATCCCATCCAGTCTTATTGTGCCTTTATTTAACAATTTGTGCTGGAAACATTTACAAAAACATACATTTCTTTGTATTTTTATATAAAAATTAAATCATTGTGACCCAATAATATCTTTCTTGTAGCGCCACCATGAGGACAAACACAGCAGGTATCGTCAGCTGGACTCTAACCTGTGGCATTAAAGTTAAAGCACAGATTATTGAAATTCAGCCGACGTTTGGAAATCATTTGGAGGCAGAAAACTGCGTGTGTGTGTGTGTGTGTGTGTGCGGCATTAGTCAGACACACACACACACACACACACGCACACACGCAGTCTGAATATGTTATGTGCTGTGTGACAGCTCGTTGGGCCTCACAAGTGTCACCCTGCCTCTCTCGCTCGCACTCTCTCTCTCTCTCTCGTTGAGGTGCAGCGGTGAAGCTAACGAGCTCAGTTTGCAAATGAAGCCGTCATCCGTCACGACACACACACACACTCTCTCTCACACACACACACACACACACACACACACACACACACACACACACACATACAGGAGTTTTTTTTTTTGTCAAGCAGCAATCACTTCGAGAGAGCAGCAGAAGAAGAGAGAGAGGCCTTCGTCTCTTGTTGTTCTCCTATGGTGGAACTGTTTCTTTACCATTAATGTGTAATTTCCTTGTTTGGTTACAGACCTTTAAACCAAGACTAGTCCAGTCTGGTTCTGCTGACTGCTCTCATGATTTTAGTATGAGGAGAAACCTCATTTACAACAAGGAGAAACATAATTTTCCAGTGAGGGGAAACCTCATTGTACTGTGAGGAGAAACCTCATTTTACTGTGAGGAGAAACCTCATTTTACTGTGAGGAGAAACCTCATTGTACTGTGAGGAGAAACCTCATTTTACTGTGAGGAGAAACCTCATTTTAGTATGAGGAGAAACCTCATTTACAGTGAGGGGAAGCCTGATTTTACATTTAGGAGAAACCTCATTTTACAACGAGGAGAAACCATTTTTTACTGTGAGGAGAAACCTCTTTTTACTATGAGGAGAAACCTTATTTTACAATGAGGAGAAACTTCATTTTACTGTGAGGAGAAAGCTCATTTTACATTTAGGAGAAACTTCAATTTACTGTGAGGAGAAACCTTTTTTTACTGTGAGGAGAAACCTAATTTTACAACGAGAAGAAACCTCATTTTACTGTGAGGAGAAACCTCATTTTACGTTGAGGAGTAACCTCATTTTACAGTGAGGGGAAACCTGATTTTACATTTAGGAGAAACCTGATTTTACTGTGAGGAGAAACCTTATTTTACAATGAGGAGAAACTTCATTTTACTGTGAGGAGAAACCTCATTTTACATTTAGGAGAAACTTCAATTTACTGTGAGGAGAAACCTTTTTTTACTGTGAGGAGAAACCTAATTTTACAACGAGGAGAAACCTCATTTTACTGTGAGGAGAAACCTCATTTTACTGTGAGGAGAAACCTCATTTTACGTTGAGGAGTAACCTCATTTTACAGTGAGGGGAAACCTGATTTTACATTTAGGAGAAACCTGACTTTACTGTGAGGAGAAACCTTTTTTACTGTGAGGAGAAACTTCATTTTACTGTGAGGAGAAACCTTTTTTACTGTGAGGAGAAACCTCATTTTACTGTGAGGAGAAACCTTTTTTACTGTGAGGAGAAACCTCATTTTACATTTAGGAGAAACTTCAATTTACTGTGAGGCGAAACCTCATTTCACACGAGGAGAAACATAATTTTACATTCAAGAGAAACTTCATTTTACTGTGAGGAGAAACCTCATTTTACATTTAGGAGAAACTTCAATTTACTGTGAGGAGAAACCTTTTTTACTGTGAGGAGAAACCTAATTTTACAACGAGGAGAAACCTCATTTTACTGTGAGGAGAAACCTCATTTTACTGTGAGGAGAAACCTCATTTTACGTTGAGGAGTAACCTCATTTTACAGTGAGGGGAAACCTGATTTTACATTTAGGAGAAACCTGACTTTACTGTGAGGAGAAACCTTTTTTTACTGTGAGGAGAAACTTCATTTTACTGTGAGGAGAAACCTTTTTTTACTGTGAGGAGAAACCTCATTTTACATTTAGGAGAAACTTCAATTTACTGTGAGGCGAAACCTCATTTCACAACGAGGAGAAACATAATTTTACATTCAAGAGAAACTTCATTTTACTGTGAGGAGAAACCTCATTTTACATTTAGGAGAAACTTCAATTTACTGTGAGGAGAAACCTTTTTTTACTGTGAGGAGAAACCTAATTTTACAACGAGGAGAAACCTCATTTTACTGTGAGGAGAAACCTCATTTTACTGTGAGGAGAAACCTCATTTTACTGTGAGGAGAAACCTCATTTTACGTTGAGGAGTAACCTCATTTTACAGTGAGGGGAAACCTGATTTTACATTTAGGAGAAACCTGACTTTACTGTGAGGAGAAACCTTTTTTTACTGTGAGGAGAAACTTCATTTTACTGTGAGGAGAAACCTTTTTTTACTGTGAGGAGAAACCTCATTTTACATTTAGGAGAAACTTCAATTTACTGTGAGGCGAAACCTCATTTCACAACGAGGAGAAACATAATTTTACATTCAAGAGAAACTTCATTTTACTGTGAGGAGAAACCTCATTTTACATTTAGGAGAAACTTCAATTTACTGTGAGGCGAAACCTCATTTCACAACGAGGAGAAACATAATTTTACATTCAAGAGAAACATCATTTTACTGTGAGGAGAAACCTCATTTTACAAAGGTAACGAAATATCGGTTTGGCATTCCTCACTCTGGTGATTCCTATTTGGTGATTACTCTTTTTGGGAGTGCGGACGCTGTGTCTCATTGGTTGTCCACGTCTGCTCATGTCCAGGAGGTGGTGCTGTACTGTCTGGAGCGGCGGATCTGCGACGTGAACCATCGAGACAACGCCGGGTACTGTGCCCTGCACGAAGCCTGCGCCCGCGGCTGGCTGGCGATCATACGCCACCTGGTGGAGCACGGAGCTGACGTCAACTGCAGTGCTCAGGATGGAACCAGGTACGAGACGTCACTGGTTTACACCGACAGGATGTGAGTTAGAGGTGGGCGATATATGTCGTTTGCGATAATGTCGTCATTGTTGTTTTGACGATGAGCAAATTTCCATTATCGAGTATTTAAATTACTTCGCCAAAAATATTGAAACGCATGCGGAAACTCCTCACATCCAGTCATTGACTCTGAGTCTTCAAAGGTGGATGAACTTTTGTGTAGCTACCACGAAGATGTAATATTTCTGAAAATTTGGTGGGTAAAAGCTTCAGTATAAATAACTGCATCGTCTGCATAGAAACAAGTCTTTATGGGTGAATGCTGACACAACAGAACCGGTGCTAATACAGCTAATACAATAATACTACTGTCACTTTTAACAACATGTTTTAAGGCTACAGCTAAATATTTCATTTATTTGATTATTTGTCAACAAAATGTCAGAAGACAGTAAAAAGTGACCATCACAGTTTCTCTGATGTTTGGTTCAACGAACAGAAACCCAGAAATTCAGTTTACTGGGAGAAACTTGACATTTTTAACTAAAACGATTCTGAAAATTGTTAATTAAATAACAGGATCCTGTTTCCTGTTTCAGACCGCTGCACGACGCTGTGGAGAACGACCACCTGGAGGTGGTGCGTTTCCTGCTGGCCTGCGGCGCCGACCCCACCCTCACCTCTTACTCTGGGAGGGGACCAATCAACATGACCCACAGCGCTGCCATGGAAACCTTCCTGGAGGGTAGGAGTGTGTGTGTGTGGGGGGGCTGCCTCCTTGTTATCTGCTGCTGATTGTTACTCTCACACACTGAATGAACCGGGATTTCCAGAACAATTAATTTCCAATAGTTGACAAATTTTAATGTAAATCACTGTTTCCATCAACTAGTCCAACTAATTAATTATCAACAGATCGCCAACTAGTAATAATCAATCAACTGGTCAATTTATTAATTATTGGAGCCAATAATGAGGCTAAAACTCATTTTATAATATCAATTCAATATTTACGTATATGTGTGTGTGTGTGTGTGTGTGTGTGTGTGTGTGTGTTTTAATGTCAGAAACTTTTCGGGGACAGGGGCTGTAACAGGAGCACAGGGGCTGTAACAGGAGGACGGGCTGTTACAGAGGACAGGGGCTGTTACAGAGGACAGGGGCTGTATACAGAGGACAGGGGCTGTTACAGAGGACAGGGGCTGTTACAGAGGACAGGGGCTGTTACAGAGGACAGGGGCTGTAACAGGAGGACAGGGGCTGTAACGGAGGACAGGGGCTGTAACAGGAGGACAGGGGCTGTAACAGGAGGACAGGGGCTGTTACGGAGGACAGGGGCTGTAACGGAGGACAGGGGCTGTAACGGAGGACAGGGGCTGTAACAGGAGGAGGGGCTGTTACAGAGGACAGGGGCTGTAACGAAGGACAGGGGCTGTAACGGGAGGACAGGGGCTGATACAGAGGACAGGGGCTGTTACAGAGGACGGGCTGTAACTGGAGGACAGGGGCTGTAACTGGAGGACAGGGGCTGTAACGGGAGGACAGGGGCTGTTACGGGAGGACAGGGGCTGTAACAGAAGGACAGGGGCTGTAACAGAAGGACAGGGTCTGTAACAGAAGGACAGGGTCTGTAACGGGAGGACAGGGGCTGTTACGGGAGGACAGGGGCTGTAACAGAAGGACAGGGGCTGTAACGGAAGGACAGGGGCTGTTACGGGAGGACAGGGGCTGTAACGGGAGGACAGGGGCTGTAACGGGAGGACAGGGGCTGTAACAGAAGGACAGGGGCTGTAACTGGAGGACAGGGGCTGTAACTGGAGGACAGGGGCTGTAACTGGGGAGGGGCTGTACAGAAGGACAGGGGCTGTAACTGGAGGACAGGGGCTGTAACTGGAGGACAGGGGCTGTTACAGAAGGACAGGGGCTGTAACTGGAGGACAGGGGCTGTAACGGGAGGACAGGGGCTGTAAGAGAGCTCTCGCTCTCTGTCTCTGTCTCTCACTATGTCTGTCTCTCTCTCTCTCTCTCTCTCTCTCCAGAGGGGTTTAATGAGGCTTGGCTGTTGAATCCCAGAACAGCTTACTGCCACACAGACACACACACACACACACACAAACACACACTCCTGCCAGCATCCATCTACTCAGCGCCAAGCGCCGCGGCGACAAGCCGGCACCGTCTGAGCACAAACACTCATCTTCTTCTTCCCGTCTTTCACTCTGTGTGTGTGTGTGTGTGTGTGTGTGTGTGTGTGGGGCTCTATTGTTTTCATCTCGCTGCCTTTATCCTCTCTGATTGGTCGGCTCTTTGATCGACCACAACAGCCACTAACTCTCTGTTTCTCTTTCTCTCTGTGCAGACTATCTCTCCGACCTCCAGGGAAGGTCGGAAGGCGATCCCGGAATCTGCTGGGAGTTTTACGGCAGCTCAGTGTGCGGTTAGTTTACACACAAACACACACACAAACGTCAGGGGAGATCGACAGGGAAGGTTCGGAAAGGATAAAGAATGTAGGAATAAAGGAAGTACCACTAAACTCGATAAAACTAAAGGAACCACCGCTTAACTCGTCAAGACTAAAGGAACCACCGCTAAACTAGTCAAGACTAAAGGAACCACCGCTAAACTAGTCAAGACTAAAATAACCACCGCTTAACTCGGTAAGACTAAAGGAACCACCGCTTAACTCGATAAAACTGAAGGAACCACCGTTAAACTCAATAAAACTAAAGGAACCACCGCTAAACTCGGTAAGACTAAAGGAACCACCACTAAACTCGATAAGACTAAAGGAACCACCGCTTAACTCGTCAAGACTAAAGGAACCACAGCTAAACTAGTCAAGACTAAAGGAACCACCGCTAAACTAGTCAAGACTAAAGGAACCACCGCTAAACTAGTCAAGACTAAAATAACCACCGCTTAACTCGGTAAGACTAAAGGAACCACCGCTTAACTCGATAAAACTGAAGGAACCACCGTTAAACTCGATAAAACTAAAGGAACCACCGCTAAACTCGGTAAGACTAAAGGAACCACCGCTAAACTCGATAAGACTAAAGGAACCCCCGCTAAACTCGTCAAGACTAAAGGAACCACCGCTTAACTCGTCAAGACTAAAGGAACCACCGCTAAACTAGTCAAGACTAAAGGAACCACCGCTAAACTCAGTAAGACTAAAGGAACCACCGCTTAACTCGATAAAACTGAAGGAACCACCGTTAAACTCGATAAAACTAAAGGAACCACCGCTAAACTCGGTAAGACTAAAGGAACCACCGCTAAACTCGTCAAGACTAAAGGAACCACCGCTTAACTCGTCAAGACTAAAGGAACCACCGCTAAACTCGGTTAGACTAAAGGAATCACTGATTAACTTGTAAAGACTAAAGGAACCACCGCTAAACTCGTCAAGACTAAAATAACCACAGCTAAACTCGGTAAGACTAAAGGAACCACCGCTTAACTCGTCAAGACTAAAGGAACCACCGCTCAACTCGATAAGCTTAAAGGAACCACCGCTAAATTCGATAAGACTAAGGGAACCCCCGCTAAACTCGTCAAGACTAAAGGAACCACCGCTAAACTCGTCAAGACTAAAGGAACCACCGCCGAACTCGATAGGACTAAAGTAACCACTGCTTAACTCGTCAAGACTAAAGGAACCACCGCTAAACTCGTCAAGACTAAAATAACCACCGCTTAACTCGATAAAACTAAAGGAACCACCGCTAAACTCGTCAAGACTCAAGGAACCACCGCTAAACTCGTCAAGACTAAAGGAACCACCGCTCAGCTCGATTAAGACTAAAGGAACCACCGCTTAACTCGTCAAGACTAAAGGAACCACCGCTAAACTCGTCAAGACTAAAGGAACCACCGCTAAACTCGTCAAGACTAAAATAACCACCGCTAAACTCGGTAAGACTAAAGGAACCATCGCTAAACTCGATAAGACTAAAGGAACCACTGCTCAACCATCAAGACTAAAGGAACCCCCGCTAAACTCAATAAGACTAAAGGAACCACCACTCAACCGTCAAGACTAAACTATTCAAGACTGAAGAAACTTTGAGACTTTGAGTGCCATCAAGAATGTAATTCTGTTGTTGAATGTTTGTTTTCACAGAGCCATCCAGCGAGGGAGGAGTGTATAACATTCTTGCTGACCCACCGGGGCCGGAGGAGGAGGAGGAGGATGAAGAGGAGGACAAAGATGAGGAGCAACGAGCCAGGAGGGAGGTGTTTGAGTTTGAGCTGTCTGACCGGCCACTGCTCCCCTGCTACAACATCCAGGTGTCACTGTCCCAGGGGTGAGTTAAAGATATTCACTAAAGGCTACAAATCTTTACAATTAAGGGATCAAGGACTAAAGAGTCTATGATTACAGAAGCTATTAGGGATAAAGGGACTAGGATTAAGGGACTTGGATTACATGTATCAGGACAAATGAAACCACCAGTTGAAGGAACTAGGTGTAAACAAATTTGCATCCATAGAATTCGGAACTAAAATAACTTAGATTGAAGGAACCAGTAAAGAACTGGTGAGTCTTGGGGTAAACATTTAGGGCTAAAGGTACCGATATATATTAGGGTCAAACAGATTAGGACTAAAATAAAATAGAGCTTAGAGACTGAATGAAGACCAACGGAAAGAAGGAACAAAGACCACATCCGCACACTTTGTCTTTCCTTATTCACATTCTCTCTTTTTCCTCTTTCACACTCACACATTCTTTCTCAGTGTTGTTCTAACACATCTCCCTCTCTTTCACACACACACACACACACACACACAGTCCAATTAAGGTGGTGGAAAGCCAGCCTAGAAAGAAAAGAAAGGGATAGCGGAGGAGGGAGAGAGAGCGAACGGAGGGTAGAGTGAGCGGAAGAGAAAAAAGATCCTCGGAGGAGGAGATGGAGAGAGAGAGAGAGAGAGAGAGAGAGATAAAGGCAGGACAGACGGAGAGGTCGTTAACGAGGATTGCATCGCTGTGGCGACGCGGCTAATTGGCTTCCACTTCGTCTTCCTCCCCTGTCGCTTCTCTCCTCCTCTCTCTTTCTCCTCCTCTCTCTTTCTCTTCGTCTCTCTCTCATTTTTTTCCCTCTTGTGTCTGATGTAGTATTAATGGCTCCTCCCGGGTACAAGGCCACCGGGTACCGACACACACACATTTCATCGGGTTGTTTAACATTCCAGCAGCGTGCGGCTTTAAAGCAACATGTGGCCTCGTCCGCCGCCGTGTACGTCCTCTGCCCTTCACATCGACCGACATTGGGAATCAATAACGTCTTCGGCTGCAGAATTCATAAAAGAGAAACTGTCCGTGTTTCCTCCTTCTTCCCTCTCTGACATTTAACGGATTAATTTAATATTTAATCTGTAATTAAACACAACAGAACTAATTTCCTCTTCCTCCTCGTGCTCAGAGAGGGTTGATATCAGTTTTGTCCGAAATTGAAACACTCATTGACTCCAGATAAAAGCTAAAATTCCTGTGAGCTGGAATAATCAACTGGGAATTATCTGCATGTGCGAGAAACATGAGCCCAATTGACCAAATGATGGCGCTGTAATAACGGCCACGCTGCTGTCTGATCGGACGCAGTCCTTTAAACAGATTGAGCCGTTAGAAATGCTTGTGTGACGTTTGTTGACATTCTTCTACGAACCAAGATACTGACGTAAAAAAATAAACCTCACTCTTTTTCTCTCCTCCTCGCTCTGTCCTTCAGTCCCAGGAACTGGCTCCTCCTCTCCGACGTCCTGGGTCGACTTCGGATGACTTCTCGGTCTTTCCGGCGCCTCTTCCCACAGCTGAATGTGCAGTCGATGTCTGAGGATGAGTTCTACCGGCAGGCGTCCCTGTCGCAGCTCCTGACAGGTCCCGATGAGCAGGAGCTGGCTTCCTTCAGGCCAGACGTCAAGGACCCCCTGGAGCTGGTGGAAGCCACCCCCGAGCTGGCCGGCATGCTCGGCTCTTCCCTGGAGTTTGTGGACACTCGTTGGGACTTGCTGGAAGCTTCGCCACCTCCAACACCACCCCCACCACCACCACCACAAAGACTGTCGCTAAGACTGCCACAACGTATTCCACCATTATTACCACCACAGCGACAGGGGGCAACAGACCCTCGTGCTAAAGTGGACAATGTCTTACAAAGCAGGAGTGCAGACTCTGGACAATTCCAAGGACTTAAAAATCTGGGATATTCCACCCTGGCAGCTAAAATAGAAACCAAACTGGATGCCAGCATGTGGGAACCACAACAGCTAGGAAGTGCAAACGCTGTTGTTCCTATTCCTGCAAAACCAAACATGACAATGATTGTTAACACGTGGGAACCGCAAAGACAACAAAGTAAGAATATTGGGATTCCTAATACTGCTAATTCTGACTCTAAAGTGAACTCTAGCATGTGGGAACGACAACGTAGCAAGAGCACTGGGATTCCTAATTCTGACTCTAAAAGTGAATCTAGCATGTGGGAACCACAAAGACAACAAAGTAAGAACATTTGGATGTCTAAGTCTGCTAATACGGACGCTAAAATGGACTCTAGCATGTGGGAACAGCAGCAACAAGGACATAAATCCACCAGGAACACTCCCGCAAAGTCCGACATGGCAGCTAGCACTTGGGAACCACAGCGACTGCGAAGTAGGAGCATCGCGAATTCTGACACCAAAGTGGACGCTACACCGTCAGAACCACAGCGAATACGAAATAAGAGCACTGCTAATCCTGCTAATGGCACAGTGGATGCTAATGCGTGGAAACGACAGAATCTAGGGTGTAAGACTGGTGGGGAGTCGGACTCCACGAACCCAGGTGCTTCACACGAAGGAACCGATTGGGAACCGCAACGACTCCGAAGTAAGGCGGCAGGGATCAACGGCCCCGCGAAGCCAAACACTACAGTGGACGCTAATACGTGGGAACGCCAGGGAGTAAAGAGAGTGGGTGGCACAAGCACACCACCCAAAAGAGAGGACAGTTCCTGTGACAGCCAAGGGCACGGAGCTAAGACCATCAAGATGGACGCTGCCTGGCAAAGGAACTTGGGCAACGTCAGAGTCCACATCCGGGATCTTGGAATGAAAGTGGCGGGAACCATCCGGAGGGACGTAAAGAAAGAGCAAGGGAAGGCCGCCGGGAAGGCCGCCAAGGTCAAAGCGAGGTCGTGACAACATAAAGTAACAGACTGAAAAACAAACGTAAATAAATGAGTAAACAGAACGTCGTCTGTAGAGACGCTAACAGTATCGTGTGTGCTCTATGTTTACTGTAAATATTTTTATTTATGAGTACAGATATTCTCTGTTGGTGAAGTTGTTCTTTGTAAATGCAGTCTGGTGTAAATACGACGCAGTTTCTGTTCACGTGGAGGTTGTTTGTTACCTTTGTCTGTAATTTTGTATTCAGCATCCTGTTGGCTTTCGTCACCAAAATATTTATTGTCCAATAAATATAAAGAATGAGAAATACGTCTGATTCAAGTTCAATGCTCAGATCAGTTAGCAAGTAACTTAGCATTATTCAGGGTTACTGCTAATACCAGCTGGGATTACAGATGTCTCCTTATAGTGGTTAGCATTGTACTGGTATTTCTGCTAGCAGTGTTTTTACTAGCTGTTTCTATAAACCTGTTGGCATTATAAAAGGTCATAGCCAACTGGTTTGCATTTCTAACTGTTAGATAATCATTAGCAATGCTAACTTGCTAACGTTGCTAGTGGTCTCTTTTCATAGTAACCGAAGGCTGCAGTTCCTCTGACGTCCACCAGAGGCTCCAGCAGTGAGTCTCCATAAGGATCCATATTAAACTGCAGACAGTCTTTGGTCTCTGTAGCTTTAAGTGAGGATGCATTAGGGGCGTGGCCTCTTTGTCTCCAGTCCTCAACCTCACCTGTGATGTGGGCGGAGCTCTGTGGTCATTACAGGTGATCAGACTCACCTGTGGAGAACCAGGCAGGTGGAGGAGTGTTCTGCTCATGCTCAGTAAGTTTGTGTTTCTTTATTATATTCTTTACATTATATTTATTGTTTTATTTATTACTGTCACTCTGCTGGAGTACGGAAGCTCGGTAGGTCCAAAATTAAACACAGGAAGTTGTTTGTTTTGACTTTTTCTTTTTTTCTCAAATTTTATTTTCTATGTGAGTGGATTAGTTAATTAGTTAATTAGTTCGTTGGCTGGCTGGTTAATTGGTTAATTGGTTGGTTAGTTGGTTGGTTAACTGGTTAGTTGGTTGGTTGGTTGATTGGTTAGTTGGTTGGTTAATTGGTAAGTTGGTTGGTCGATTGGTAAGTTGGTTGGTTAATTGGTTAGTTGGTTAATTGGTTAGTTGGTTGGTCGATTGGTTGATTGGTAAGTTGGTTGGTTATTGGTTGGTTAGTTGGTTAGTTGGTTGGTCGATTGGTTGATTAGTTGGTTAGTTGGTTAGTGAGTATTAGTTGGTTATAAAATCATTAAAAAAGGCCGGTGAGCTGGTTGGGTTCATCATAAATAAACAGTTAATTGGTTATTTGATTATCTGATGCTGATTGATCCATTGAACTTATTAGTTGGTTTGTTCTTTTGAAAGTGGCAAGTTTATTATTATTATTATTATTATTATTATTATTAAAATCAATCATTCAGTTGGCATGTTTTTGTCTCCCTGAATGAACCTGATAAACTGTGTCGACACCACTGACGTCAGTAAGATCCTCAGATTGTTCCAGAATTTAAAGATAATATAATTATTTATATAATATCATCCGACAGAGTCTCCTGCCCCCTCCCTCTGGAACTCTCTCCCCAAACAATCTGTGACTGCACCGACCCTCCAACATTCAAATCACTGACAAAAACTCACTTTTTAAAATTGCTTTTAATGTTTGCCTTAGTCCGATGTGTTTTTAGTGTTTTTACTATTTGATGTTGTTTTTATTTAGTGTCTTTGAGTATCCAGAAACGTGCTTACAAATAAAATGTATTATTAATATTGTTATTATAATCAATCAATGAGACGCGTGCTTACGTCAGCATGAACTAACTGATTTCAACCAATAATATCCTGACATTCGCCCGTCAATCAATCTTCAGCTGTTATCCACACGGAGCCAAGATTCATTAGTTAGCTAGCCAGCTAACAGCAGCAACTTTATTTTTTTAAGTTATTTATTGGCCTTTTTTAATTAGATAGAGACAGGTGTAGATTGACAGGGAAGGGGGGGTAGAGAGAGAGGGGATGACACGCAGCAAAGGGCCGCAGGTCGGATTCGAACCCGGGCCGCTGCAGCAACTCCGTACATGGGTCGCCCGCTCTACCGAGTGAGCTAACCGGGCGCCCGAAACACACAACTTTATTATCACCCGATATCAAACAGCTAGCATATCCAATGATATTCTGTTCGGAGCAATAAAAGTACAAAATAATCTATAAAATGTTAGCTAACCAATGTCGCAGACATCTAGCATCCGATACGATGCCAGATGTCTGTAGCTAACTGACATGATCCACCTCCCTCAGACATCTCGAGATGATGTGTGGTTGGTTGTGGATAACCAATGCTATGCTAACAAACCTAGCATATGTGATGTAATGCTAGACGTTTGTAGCTAACCGATGTTCTGTACAGTGTTATCAGTCAACTGTTAGCACTGTAGCTCTTTATTGACCCCGAACCAGAGAACGTCTAATAATGAGAGAACTTCCACTCTCAGTAAACCTCCGGGTTCTGAGCTGTTGCAGTTCCCCTCTGGCTCCATGTGAGGGCGCTCACAGGATGAGTGCAGAATGAATGGAGCTCTATGGAGCGATACCCTCACAATCCTCTTCTCTCAGGATATCAGTGTTTGTCGAGTAATGACACATTGCTGGGTGTTAGATTGTTTAGAGTCACTTATTTTCTTTAAAAAGTCTTTAAAATGTCAGTGACGTCACACACATCGTACGGCGAGCGCCCCCAGTGGACCTCTGCTGGAACTGCAACCAGT